TCAGTTAAGTTCTTAATATCAAAGGATACAAAAGTCCATCCTGCTAAAGTAAATATAGCTATTCCAGAAGGATATATGTTCAGTGTTTCACTTTAGCAGAGGATACGTGTATCCTCATATTTGATCTACATTGTTCTTTTAATATCTAAAATCTGCCATGCAGCTGTAGTGTTGTCCTTGGAAGCACATGGCCTGTGCCAGGCATACTTCACCAGCCCATGGAGCACATGTGTGGCCTTCCTTGGTGTCACTGCTCTTCATGGTGGTTGAGTAGGGCATCTTCATCGGCCAGACAAAGGTTCTCCTTGTCCTAACCTGCTGTTAGGCCTCAGAGGCGTAGCAGAAGTTTGTGAAGGGGATCAGCATCTCAGAGCACGATGTAGCCACAGCAGAGGCTGAAAGACCTCTGGGAAATGGCTCTTTATGGTAACCTGCAGCCAAGGGGAGCTGAAATGTTGCAACAAAAATGCTGCATCCAAACTGCTGCTGCAGCCTCATGCCACAGGTAGCATAACCAGTACTGGCGTTTGTGCCATCACTCCTAGAGCAGCTCTGTGTCTTTCTGCTTCTCCTTAAATCTGCTCTGTGAAGGCTCCTGCAGGACTAATTCAGCTTTCATCTAGAAATCTTCCTCTCATGTATTGCAGTAACTGGCAGGTAGGTGGAAACTTTGAGTTTCTGAACTGTAACATGGCTGGAGAAAATCCTCGTTCTTTGGTGCGTTGCCTAGAGTTTTACTGCCATCCTCCATTTTATCACTGGAAAAATACCTAGTTTAACTTCCACTGTGAAGCTTTGCTGATCAATACATTACAAGCATAGTAAAGTTCAAGAAATTGTCTCCATTACTATCTTGAGATGAGAAATTGATTTAGCTGCATTCTCTCTCTGCTAATTCGTCTGTTCTTTACGTTCCCATAAAAGGTATTATGTGCTCCTTATTTTCCAGCAGTGTCATCAATCCTAATGAAGAGAGAAGAACAAAAATTTATATTGTGTGTATGGGATAGCTGATCTCTGACTTAGCTCTTAATTTGTAAATGTTGCTGTAGGCTTCACTTCTCAGCTTCTCCTTACTGTGCTTCAGTTATATGCAAAATCTAGGGGCTGGGATGGGAGTAGAACTGAAGAATATGGCAAAGGAACATAAAGTTAGATTGCTTTTTAATCTAAACCTCAAAAAATGAGATGCTGATTAAAATTTAATGAAAGGAATTAAAACCTCATTTGTGAATTTTATGTACTTTTGCAGTGTTTGGTCCTGTGTTAATTACATTGGGACTGTTTTCAGTATTTATCAGCCATCAGTTCACTGCCTCTGACTCTAAAATGCCCAAAGTTTTACTCTTTAATGATGGTATTATGTATGAGAGCTTTGCATGTATTTGCTAATTTACATACAAATGCATATGAGTGCTATTGTAGCTCTGATGATGAAGGTGGTATAGTGGGAAAAGCAGCCAAAACAAATAAGAAAAACAGTAGAGGGTTTTCGTGGTCATTCTTGTTGTTGCTTTTCCCAGTGTCCATTGGCCTGGCCTTTGTAGGAAGCTGGCAAAGATGGTTTGTCTGCAGAATACTTTGGCATTTTTAGGTTTAATACTAGTGTTCGTTGTTCCAGAGCAGATGGATAAATGAAAAAGAAAGCAAAACTACATACTGTGACTTTGGTCACTGCTCATGATATAGCAGTTATTTTTTTAATGAAATTTAAACATCTTGGCAGGTTCTAAAGAGTTGTGTTAAAGTGGGGCAAAACCCCCTGTTTTCTCTTTTGGCTCCACTGACATTAACCTCAGATTTTCCCTGTGTCTCTGAATATTTTCTGTTACAAACAAAAAGCAATGATATATAGTCATCAGTCATCTAGAAGATTCAATATGCCTGTTACAGACCTAAAGGTATTAAATAGCAGTATAAAAAACAAGCTAGATAAAGCATTAAGTACATGTGGGTTTATTAAAGCCTGTCTTATTTCAATGAAGAGGCAAATCCATGGGATTTGCAGAGAAAAACTGTCAGCAGATAAGATGCAAGCAGGTAATGAACAGTTTGGTTTCGGGGATGTTTGTAGCATCTCAGCTCACATTTGTAGCAAGACATGGATGTGCACAGGTTTTAGTTACTGGGACTCAATGCAATAGTGTTGTCAGCAAAAACTTACTTGGATCCAAGAAAATCCATGTGTCCCTGTGCGATGCTACCAGCATTTACCATCAGCTCAGGTGTTCTGTCAAAGAAAGACATTTTGGGCAGCTTAGGCTTTTTAAGGTGCTCCACTGTCTCCCCTGGTGTATGTTTTGATGGAGTGGGTTGGTGTCTGGGTTGTGCTGTGGACCTGTTTCCTGTGGGCTTGGGGGAAGGCGAAGGGCGAAAGAAGAGGCAGGTGTTGGGCAGGGCAGTTGAGCTGCTTGGGTTCGTCTCCCCCACCTTGCTGGTGGGCTAAGGGGGGGCACTTTTTCTGTGCAAGAAGCTGCTGGACTTAGGGGGTGGCTTCTTTGCTGTATGTAGTAGTGTTGCAGGGCTTGGGACCTATTATCAGAGGTCTTTAAAGAATAATTTAAACAAGTGAATCTAGCATGAAGGCGAGAGGAGGAAAATGCTGACTGAGGTCACTGAGATTAACTGTGCCCTTTTCCCACAAGCAGTCATTCATACAGTTTCATTTTAAGCCTGGAATGACTTTCTAAAACCTGGCAGGGCTTGATGCGAATGACGAGTTTCCCACTGACATCAGTGAACTCTGAATCACACCTTAAACTTCCAGGCTTGTTTCATAGAATTATAGAATACCAGGTTGGAAGGGACCTCAAGGATCATCTGGTCCAAACTTTCTTGGCAAAAGCACAGTCTAAGGCAAGATGGCCACCCTATCCAGCCAAATCTTCAAAGTGTCCAGTATTGGGGAATCCACCACTTTCCTGGGGAGGTTATTCCAATGGCTGGTTGTTCTCATTGTGAAAAAACTTCCTCTTGTGTCCAATTGGAATGTCCCCAGGAGTAACTTGTACGCATTACCCCTCGTCTTTTCCATGTGACTCTTTGTAAAAAGGGAGTCTCCATCTTCTTTGTAGCCACCCTTTAAATACTGGAACATGGTGATAAGGTGTTCCCTAAGCTGCCTTTTCTCAAGGCTGAACAAACGCAGTTCTCTCAGTCTTTCTTCATATAGCAGGCTTCCCAGTCCTTTGATCACCTTTGTGGCCCTTCTCTGGACACTCTCCAGCCTGGCCACATCTTTTTTGTACAGCTGGAACCAAAACTGAACACAGTGTTCCAGGTGTGGCCTGACAAGCGCTGAGTAGAATGGATAATGACTTTATCTGTGCTGGTAATGCCCTTGTTGATGCAACCTAGCATTCCGCTGGCTTTCTTTGCCACAGCAGCACACTGTTCACTCATACTGAGCTTGTTGTCCACCAGGACCCCCAGGTCCCTTTCCACAGAGCTGCTTCCCAGCTGGGTAGATCCCAGCCTGTGCTGCACTCCTGGATTATGTTTTTCCAGGTGCAAGACCTTTACATTTGCCTTTGTTGAACTTCATAAGGATCTTGTTAGCCCACTCTTCCAGACTATCCAGGTCCTCCTTGAAGGGTGGCTCTCCCTTCCAAAGTGCCCACTTCCCCACTCAGTTTGATACCATTGGCAAACTTCATCAGGGTATACTTGATCCCATCATCCAGAGCACTTATGAAGATATTAAACAGCATCGGGCCCAATATCAATCCCTGGGTGACCCCACTTGTGACAGGTTGCCAGTTTGAAAAGGGGCTATTTACTACGACCATCTGGGTGCAGTCTGTTAGCCAGTTCCCCACCCACTGCACAGACCACTTGTCTAGACCATAATGCATCCATGTTTCTAGGAGGAGGCTGTGGGAAGCTGTATTGAAAGCCTTGGGGAAATCCAGGTAGACAATGTCCAGTGCTTGCCCCACACCAACCAAGCAGGGTACTTTGTCGTAGAAGGTGATCAGGTTTGTCAAGCACAATTTGCCCTTGGTGAACCCATGCTGGCTTTTCCCAATCACATGCTTCGTTTGACTTGTGATAGCCCCCAGGAGGATTTGTTCCATAACTTTCCCAGGGACTGAAGTAAGACTGATGGGCTTTATAATTTCCTGGATCCTCCTTTAAGCCCTTCTTGTAGATGGGGATGACATTAGCCTTCTTCCAGTCTTCTGATCTCCACAACTTCTCAAAGATTATGTGGAGCAGCCTCACAATGATGTCAGCCAGCTCTCTTAACACCCTCGGGTGTTCAGGGCCTTCCCTAAAAGCCGTCTTGGCAGCAGCACCTACAAAACCAAATGTGTTGTTTTCATTTAAATAATTTAAGATGCCTTGTCTAGATATCTCTTCTGCACTGAGTGACAACCTGATTGTATCTCCCACACCTTTGACTTTCATTAATCCCTCCCTTCCTGATTGCTATACCTTCTCTTGTTTGTAATGCTCGTCATGTAGTTTGCAGGCTCTGGGCCAGCAAATCTCCTCTCCATGAGAGCATCCAGCCTGTCTTTGGGTTCTGTCAAAGCAGCATAAGATGCTATGAAATCTTTACGGTCTTTGCAGTAGAGGCACAATCTTGTTTTATTTATTGCATCAACATAACCCACTCCTCGTCTTGCAGTAGGCGCCAAGCTGAGTAAGAAGAAAAGATGAATTTACTTGTATTTCAGTCTGTAATTTGAAGCACCGTGGATGTATCAATCCCAGAGATTTGACAGTGAAGCAGTCTCTCACTGTTCATATGGGAAAGAGATTCGTGGTTGTTCTTTAAGGGTGTTACAGTGCTGATAGATGTCCTCTGCAATAGTGACTTGAAGAACAGAGTAACATGGAGATACTATATTGAATAGAAGGTAGTATTTGGTTGTGTTACAATAGGAAGCTCATTCTTGCAGGTCTGCTCATGATTTGGGGCAAGCTGGTGATATTTTATAAGATAATCACATGGAGGGGGAAAACTAATTTCCATTCTTTTGCTTTATGTTTAGATACATCACTTTGAGATCACAGAATGAAAGCAGCATGAAATGTTATGGCAAAGACAGCACAGCAAGATACAGGAGTCTTGCAAATCCTCAAAAATCAGGTAAAGTTACAGCATCATATGCCCACTTTCTATGAGGCTGGCTTATTTAATAAGGCTCAATGCTTTTTGACTGTTTTCCAAAATTTGGGCTTCTGAGTCTCTGTGGCTTTATTGATGGACTTCTCAAATATGACCAGTGTGTTGGCTTTGTGTCCTGTTAAAACATTATTTTATTTACCACAGTATGTATGACACAGGAGATCCCAAAACGTTTAAATCTTTCTTAAAGGACTACCTTGGCTATATTGTCTCATACAAGCAAAATGGACATTACCTTAATTTAAAAAAACCAAACCAGCCATGGTGGTCAGTTCTGTATAGTCATTGGACTTTAGCTGACTCCATTGCTAGGTACCAACATGATGCATTTTAGAGGGATTGACTTTTCAGAGGGTCCTGCAGCTGCATTTCTGAAAACTGTCTCCTTTGGGGGAGACACTGGGCTCAAAATAGCTGTTACCTCCCTACTGAAAGCTTAGCCATATGCTATTTTCTACATACTATTACTTCTGCCTGGTTTTTTTTTTAATTGTTTGTCTGTCTCAGGATGTTTCCTTCCTGCCTCTTTTTGCAAATCCTAGCATATGTTCTCTGACTGTTTCACAGCATTTACAGTTACAGAAAAAGGCAATCACGTTACAGGCTTCAGTGAGTAAATACTGCAGAGGTCAGGAAGAAACTGGTTAAGTGCATTGTAAGGATGCTTGCTTTATACTAAAATTGTACGCTTATCATGGCTGTGGTCACAACAATAGCCGATGGATTGATGTTTGAGTGAAAAGGCATAAAAATTTCCTATCTTGCCCCAAACCAACAGCAGTGACCAGAAGTTGTAACGTAGCCACATAAGATAAGTGGGCAAGGTCTAACCTTTCTGTCCTGAGATTTTCATGCTGGGCTCTTGTCATGTCTGCAGAACTAGGATCTTGCTGGGGAAAAACAAGTCAGTTCAGTAATAGAAGTAAAATAAAATATGAAATTGAGGGCAATTTTGGTAATAGGACATGTTTATTTTCCAGGGAGCATTTGAGAGTATTGGCCTTGATATAGGACCCAGCGGAAGGTACTACAATTTATTTCATCTAAGCAGTCAGTAAACCCAGATTGGCTGAAGAGATTTCAAATCAAGTTTCATAGACAGCTTCAGCCTTGATCAAATCTGGAGTAACGTATTGGTAAATAGTAGAAAAATAATTGTGTTTATCACAGGTCATCAGCCCTTTTAATTAATGCTATCTTCTGTACACTTTTTGGTCACTTAGTCATGGAATATGCAATTCAAGTGCCCTTCTGGCCTTATTCAAGGTTTTTATTTTATTTTTATTTTTAATCACTATTGTGAGGAGATCACATCATTTTGTATTTGCCATTTTTATGAAGTAATGTGATACCTGCTTCAGTCGCAGTTCTCTGAACCCTTCAAAGTACCTTGAAACTGTAATGCCAATTCACTGACAGCAAAGATAATCAGATTTTTTTGAAGCAACCTTCTTCATTTCTTTGGGACTCATGGAACTGTATCTCCCTTGAACTAAATTGAGTTAATGTCTTTATTTAGACATCAGCCTCCTCTTCTTGAATAACCAGAATTCTGTTAGTTTTGGGAAAAAAAAGTTTTCATTAAATTACCAGTGGCTCAAAGTGTGTTTCCTACTTAGAACTTAGATCAAAAAGAGAGGAAAATGTTTCTGCTTGTTTGTCTTCCTTTCTCCTCCCCCTTTTCTAGAGACTTTCCTGAGATGATCTACTGTTGGTTTTGCTGTTGTTTTTTTGTTGCCTTTTTTTTTTAAACTTCATTGAAGTAGAGAAATTGCTCGGTTCCCCTCCCAATGCAGTTGTTGCTCTCCCCTCCCCCAAGTCCAATGTGTTCTTTATTAAACTGAATTAGGACATTCTAGTCTCTCTTAAGAGTGGAAATGGGAACAGCTTAAATGAGCAGCCACATGAGACTCAGCAGCCTTTCCAACTGCACTGCAGAAGGAGCTCAGCTGCAAAGGGAATGATAATTTTTGAAGGATTTGTGCAACTGTTGAAGAATTACCAGCATTAATATTAAAAAGCAGCTAATCTGTTTTTCCCCTTCCGTTTTAAGAGTGTATAGCTTTCCTACTATGTTCTTCCTTATGCTTGCTATAAAATCAGTGTACTAAATATTTTGCTTCCCTTCCATTCTCTTTTCACTTTTGCAGTTATTTACTTATGTTCTCATATACTGAAGTGGGTTTTTTGTTATTGTTGGTTTTGCCTAATGACACCAACCTTGGGGTCTGTGTGCAGATATGGGCATGGATTTGAGATATCTGCCATCTAAAGAAAGCCAAAATTGAAGTGCAGGAGAAAACATACAAGCAGTTGTATCCTGGATTGGGATGAAAAGGTTTTCAGCCCTATAAGCGTTTTTCCTCAAGATAGCTATAGAAAATTATTGTTGGTCCTTGAAATCCGTATTGCTATTTCGGTGTTTGTTCTAACCAAAATAGCAATGATCCTGATACCTTTTGACCCTTGTTTGCAGTCTCTGCCTCTGTTGCCATATCAGATGTCTTCAGGGTTTCTATAGATATTTTTTTAAAAAAGTAGATCTTTGAGTTGTTATCTTCTCACCTCTCTTTCCCCTTTTCTCTCTGCTAGTTCACCCAACCACCTTGCTTGGTGTTAGAAATTATTAATTCTGTTTCAGTCCTGTGCTGCTTTTTTCACGTGCTTATTTCCTGTGCCAAAAAAACCCTGGAGCTAGGGCTTGAACTGTGGCTACACAAAGAGTTACGGAGGCAAACCTGGTATCTAAACTGCCTGCAAGAGCACAGGGGTCTCTGAAATACGTCACTCTTCCAATTCTGTGCTTCTCAGCCATCCAGCATTACCGCTGTCATCACATCTGAAGATGTAGGGGTAGTGCCAGGTTTGCTTCTGAGAGCTGGGTTTGAGTAATGCACGTGCGTCTGTTCTTAGGTAGCATTCCCTTGGTTTTTAAAGCTGCTCTTCTTGGTGGGTTCTTAGTGGTGGTTGTACATTGGTAGTGCCCAGCTGAAAATCCTGCCTGTCTGTGCTATTGCTTAAAGGCTGGATTATAGTTGGCCTACGTGGTGGGGGCTGGTGGTAGCATCAGTGTTAGCAGAACGGAGGCTATCAGGGAAGGAGCTGCTGTGTATTCCTGTGTCTGTCCTAAAGGAAATCGGAGAGCAAGATGATGTGAATGATGGCTGTCTTGATTTAGGAACAGCTTAGCAGAAGATCTCACAGTTCTGAATAACAAGATAACGAGACAGGCCAATTAAAACATTCTCATAAAAAAGACTACAAATTGAGTAAGATAAATCTTATTTTGTTTCTATTGAAGCTAAGGCGGGGGGGGCAGGAATTCAAAGGAAGGAAGGAAGCAGAAAACTTATGGTTTTGGATTTCATCTTATCCGCAGTTAAAAATGAAGCTTATATTCTAATAGCAAAGAGATAGCCACTTGAGAAAGCCCTGTCTCAGCCTGTGTGACTGAAGGGTGGTAAGGCACAACTAATGTACAACATGTCCGCAGTGTTGGGAAAACACGTAGCAATGACACATTTCTGTAAGCAGGCATGCCTCGAGTTAAGTGTTATAAAAAACAGTTTAGGCTGCTAAGAGTGGTGGTTCAACTTGCTTTAACTGATGTGTTACTGTCCTGGAGGGAGGAACATGAGGAGGGATGGTGCCCCAGCAAATGAGCATCTGCTGATACTGTTGTTTGTGAGTAGATGCAGGTGCTATGTTCTGCAGAAGCTGGTTGAACATGGAGGTCTTTTTTGCATCTGCCATCTTATCTAGTCTTCTTTTTTTTTCAGGCTAACTAGTAATTAATCTATAAAAGCATGTAGATTTTTGCTTAAAGTGACAGCTGAAAAACTTGAAGTTGGACAAAGCGTAGGATCCAATTCCCCTTTGATACACAGCCCTGCAACCTACTGAGATGGCTTAGATCAGTGCTCTAATAACTTCATGGCCTTTTAATGAGTCTGCTTCCTTCAGCACCTGCTCTCCTACAGTCTTTTGTCATCCCTCTCCATTAACTCAGTTCTGAAACTGGCACTGGCTGGCATTCAGTCCTGGTTTTGCAGCCTACACCCAGCCCAACTTTCATGCACTGACTTATTTGGAGTGGATGTCTTGCTCTAAAATTCATGTGGATTCAGGCAGTTCAATAATGTGACTGGCTTGATCTGTTGCTTACTGGAGTTGAAAAATTCTGCAGGTTTCAGCTTCTGTGGTGTGTGATGAAGCTGGGAGTGGTTTTTTTATGTAACTACCATCTCCTTGATATTTCACTGCCTGTCTTCTCTAAGTTCTTCTTACCCTCCAGTGATACAGTTTATGAAGGAGGAAAATCAGATCACCTTTACTGAAGACTGATAATGTTGGCATATTCTTCCATTTCATGTTTACCAGAATTAAGTTATGGCATGCTTCCAGAAGAGACTACTACTTGTATTGCCTTACAGTTGCTTGTGTTTGAAGAGGGAGACAGTTGGAGTGTGTAAAGGCATTTCAGCCACCTTGGCATGTCCCTGGCTTTCAGTCTGGAGAATGGAGCTGTGCAAGTTGCAGGGGACTACGTTGAAATGATGAGAAAAGAGTTGGAGCAAAACCTTGTCTCTGTTGAAATCAGTTGAACTCCCATTAGAGTCCAGATTCCATCCATAAACTTAAGTAGGGTATTTCTCTTTCTAGGCAGTGTACAGAAATGTTTCTGTCCTTCTGCATTTGTTTTCGTATTTCTTGGTAATGCTTGTGTAATTGGGATATATCTGTAATGTCAGAAATGTAATAGGTTAAGTAGCATAAATGACTGTTGGGAAGAGAAGAAACAGAACTGCAGAACCATTGTTGCTTTAAAACTTCTGCTGCTTTTAGTTGTTTGATTTAACCATTTAGTAGTTAGAGTTGTTCTGATAAATCGCAGTGATGGGTGCATACATGGGCATGAGTGCTAAACAAAAAGGAGAAAAAGCACCCTTTTCTTCCTATCATTGAAAGAAATAGAAATCATTCAGTACACTGCCAATGGCTTCTCAGTTGGCCAGAGACTGACTTTGGTGCCCCTAAAGCCTTAATGATGATGTGTACAGCACTGAAATACTGTTAGATTTTAATCCAACAAGAAATGTGTAGTGTTAGCATTTTTTTAAAGTTGACAAATGCTCAGTGTATACAGAATCAAGCCCTTGAATTTAAGCCTGTTCAAGTACTAAAAAAAAATTTTTGTTATCTAAGGGACAGGTTTATTACTGATTATGCTTTTATCAATGTGCCTATCTGTTTTTTTTTCTGTTACCTGAAGGTGGAATAACAAAGCTTTTTGAACATTTGCACTTTTCTCCCTCCAGATCAGTGATGCTTTTGAAAGGAATGTTTTCTCTTTCTTTTTTCTTTTTTTTTTTTTGGGGGGGGGTGGGGGGGAATGGATGTTTGAAAACAATCAAATTTTTTCAAATGTGATTCTCATAGTGACTGAACTTTCCAGTCCTTTTGTGACCTGACTGGTATTTTAATATAGTATTCCATTATAATTTTTTCAGATTTTTACAAATGTTTCTGTGTAACTGTGATGATAACTCTGTAATCTACCCAATAGACAGCAGCATGTCCCACCTACCAAACTGGAGGTGAGTTGAGGGTGCTGAAGCTGCCGGATAGGAAATTTCTGAGCTTTGGGTTTTTTTTCCTCTGAGAGAGGGGAATAGAGAGGTTTATGCCAATGCTTCAGATATAAAACCTTCTTGACTGTTTTCCAGTACCCTGAGAACGGTAACCCCCAGGTGAAAGGGTGCAGTAAGTGGAATTTGGTGCATGCCAAAGGGCTGACATTTTCTCTGGTGACTACAAAACTAGCTGTGGCTGCTGGCACAGGTGGTAGCATCTGCCACCATAGTGCTCCTGCCTGTGGGAAGAGTATGGGATCAGGGGCCTGGCTGGCCACTTGATTCATTTTTATACTGAAATCATGTTGTTTGCTGCATTAAGAATAAGTGCTCTTACTGTCCTTACTGCTGAAATTCTTGCAGTCTTTTAATTTTAAGTCTCCTGGAGACATTTATTCTTGCTCACTGGTTTGTACCACTATTATTTCTTGCCCTTTGTCTAATATTAGTCACTTCAAACCTTAAAAGGAAGGGCCAAAACCAAGAAACTTGGTGTAAATTACAACACTATTAATGGGTGAAATGGGACATATCTCCTATACATAAGGTGTATCGAGAGATCCAATAATACCCTGTTTTCATGGGAAGAGGTGTTCAGAGCATCTCGGCTGAGCTTTCTTAACTTGGCAGGCATAAGAGGAGATGTATATTCCTGTGTAGGATCCCTCTCTTCCTCTAAAAGTTGATGGCCTTTCAGTGTGAAATATCACACAGTGTTTATTTTTATGCCCTTTGAATGTTTTGTGGAGGCTTTGTTTAGTTTCCCTTCATAATTTTTAATAGGAAGTCTTTGAAGTTGGGTTGTGGCTGAAAAATCTTGTTGGCAGTCTGACCATTCATTGTTGACTCCTATCTTTTTTTAATTGTGCATCTATAAAAATCTGGAAGGGAGTATGTTCAGAGAAACTATGAAGCAATGTATATTTCTGGAAAGGCGAAATAAACTTTGCAATTATTCTCAGCCATTATTTGTAACGTGAAAATGTTAAAATGCTAATGGCTGCAGATGGTTTACGCAAAAACTGTGTACACACTGAAAGCCCTCTTCATTGGGAGCTATGGTTTTCTGTCATACATTATGCTAGAACGGAAAAGGGTTTTTTTCTGCCTGCAGCTATGTATTACCATTATTCACTGCTGCTAGCACAGACCTCGTTAATATGCGTCTGGCAGTGGTTAAAATTTTCTCCATCAGTAACTTCACATTCATCCACCTAGATCAAGGATTCTCCTAAGTTTAAAAAGGTAAGGACATCAGTATGCAGGAGTCTTTGCTGGAAAGCATTACATTTAGAAAGGCAGATGTGAAGGAGGCAGAGTTAAGGTTGTGGTCTAATATTTTTGTGCTCTTGTTAAAGCTCAGAATCAACTTTTATGTTAAAACATACTTATGTGTGCGTAGGCATATTGTACCTCTGTGCATGTATGTGATTTTCTACACAGTGATTTCTTCAGACTGTGGAGTAGTAAGACAACCCTATAATGTACCTATGTATTTTGTCGAAAACAGTACAGACATCTGCAAAGTGTTACTTTGAATTACAGTTTATGCAGTAAAAATGATAAAAGGTTGCATTCGGTATAAATTATTCTGTTAAAATAATGCAAAGCGAAGAAGGAAGGGTGAGAGGGTAGAACAGAAGTTGGAGTTCAGCACTTCTGATAAAAGATTTCCATGGGCTGATTTGGTCTTAGCATTAATCAGATTCCACACAGATGTAGCAAACAAATCTATGTGCACAGATGCAGTTGGATAACTATGCTCATGATTTATTTTTTTTTTTAATTGTCACAGCAATGAGAATTAGTGTTGCATCTTACTCCTCAGTGATGCTCTATTTTTGTACCACCAGTGGACACCTCCTGTAGTTACCCTGGAAGTTGGGAGAAGCTGTGGAAGGCTCTGTGCAAATCCCGGATTGCAATTAACTTTTCTGTGTGTCCTTTTAGATGCTAGTATCTGAGTATGGTCAGCTTCATTCAAAGCCATGGTTTTCTTTTACCTGCTTTTTCAGGACTTTGTGGAGGCACCCGTGGTGTCCGCAATACTTGGTTTTGTGTTATAAAATGGGTGTGTTGCTTCTGACAAGAAGGCTGTAACACTAGGAAGGTGACTTGGCTTGATAGTCAACTGTCTGGCTAAAACTAGTCATGAGAGAGCAGTGTGTGGCCAGCTAAAACTGCTTGAATATTCATATACTTTAGAGGAAAAAACAGTTTTGAAGAATAAGCCTTTATTGTTTTGGCAGAATGATTTTATCAGAGCACTAGAGAAGAGGCAGGATAGTGGGATGAGATGAAGTAATCTAACTGCTCTGGATTAGCCCAGCTGCTACAATTTTGCATCTGATTATGTGTTTCAAACTAGGAGATTTTACTGTTTCCTTTGAGGCAATAACAATAACAGTTTATGCAGAGAGCCAGCACTTACCTTGTCTTTCTCCTTCTCCACAGGTGCCTGGCATACTGAACCTATTGATCTGTGTGGGATTTGTGCTGTGGTCCATTTATTGAAGATGTGAAACCACATCGAGTCTGAGATTGGAATTACTGACAGACAGACTGGAGGAAATCTTAGTCCTCGTGATGCACATGGACATGCTGAATTATAAGTAATTCTAGCTTCTTTTTCCCTCCCCTCCCTTCCCCTCAGTTATCTCAGGGTTCATAGAGATTTCAATGGTTTGTGTGCCTGTAAGTTTGGAACAGAAGTGACCAAAAATGGGGGACCAGCAATTGTATAAAACTAACCATACTGCCAACAGCAATGAGAACTTGTACTACCAACAACACCAAATGAACTCCCTTCCATCTCTAAATCATAGCTATGGGACATCTGTTATGGATGCTCGCCAGGCATCCCCTCTCTCCCCCCATTTTCCCCAAGATTCAAGAGACAGTATAGCTTTGCCTGTAGGTTCAAAAAGTCTTGGGTCAATGGATACATCTAGACAAACCAGTTGGACACATTCTGGCTCAGGAAACCATGTCCCAGTGAGGAACAATTTGAATAATCAAAGCGCAATGTGGAGCCCCCTCGGACAGGGGGAGTCCCATGACGGATACCAATATTCTTACTCTCAACCCAGTGAAAACCGATCACAAAAAATCACCAGTGGGGTCCTGCATAAATTGGACTCCTTTACACAAGTATTTGCTAACCAAAACCTGAGAATTCAAGTCAACAACATGGCTCAGGTTTTGCACACTGAGTCTTCGATGGTGGATAATTCTGGTGACAGTGCACTCAGGCAGCTGCTGTCCCAGAAGCCAGCGGTTGAGCAACAGCCTGTAACTTCCAGTGTACAAAGATATCAACCACTGCCACAGCAAACACACCAGAATTTTGCAAGCACACAGCAAAAGCAACAAATTCAAGTCATGCAGCACCAACAGTTGTACTACGACTACCAGCAGCATTTATCACAAACGCAGATGCATTCTGCATTTCAGCAAGGACAGACACATGTTCAACAAATGCAGTCCCAGCAGCTCTTACCGCAACAGATGCAGCACTTGCAGCAGACTCAATACTACGCTCAGCCGCAGCAGGTACATCAGCGGCTCTCGATACAGGAGATCCAGCAGCAACAGCCAACTCGGCAGCAGCAACAGCGGCAGTGTCCAATGCAAATAGCTCAGTATTACCAAACTCAACCTGTCATGCAGCAGTTACAGCAACAGCAGCAACAGATGCAATTGCCGCTTCCTCCGTATCACAGGGAACCCGATCCAAAGACTATGCATGAACCACACCAGTACTCTCAGGATCCAGGTCATCCTGTGCAGCTTATCCAGTTGGGAGCAGTGCCTCAGTATTGCTACCAAGATCCCCATGAACAGTACAGGCACTTGTACCCGCAGAGTTTACTGCAACAGCAAGATCAGCAGAAGCAATACTCAAGTGAGAGCAGAGCACCATCTCTGAACTCCCATGTTGGCCTCACTCCACCAGGGACCACTGAGGATCCCGCACGGCAGGAGGTTAATTCTGTAGGTAATGCTGTCCCTCATCGAACTCTTTTGCCACCCTCAGGAGTTCATTTGAACAACAAAAGCTCTCAGCAAGACTCTCCCAGCGCCGTGTGGCCTCAGGTAGGTAGTATTTTAGATCTGTGCTCAGCCAAACTTGTTTTGCAGAGGAGTAGCAAGGTGTGGAAACGAAATGGTTGCAGGAGAGCCGGAAGGTTAGGATATGACTGGTGGGCGTCACTGGGATGTTTTGGGGAACTGCATTAACAGACTTCTGTCTACATTGCTCGGTTGGCTTCAGGCCAGGCTGGTGGCAGCACAGAACTGCTGCTGTGGGGCTGCTGCTTCCCTCACAAGAGGCTTTGGGAAGTTCTGCCTTGGTTTCTGGGGAGGAGGGACCCAGTTACAACAACGTGCTCTTGCTGATTTTTCAGCACCTGAGGGCTTGATTATTCAGGAAGAGTTAGTTAACTCCCTGTTTCCAAAAGTAATACTTCTGGGTCAAAGGCTTCAAACAGCAGGTGAGTTAAAGAAAATTTGCACTAGCCATGCTTACAGAGGCACTAATTCGGTAGAGACATGTAAGGCTCTCAACTCAGAGGCTTTTAGTATTAGTAAAATCATATGCAAAATGCAAACATAGTGCTGTGAGGACCTTCATTTATGCATTAATATTTCCTGAAAAATTCTTCTCTCTTTTTTCCTCTCTTTTCCCCTCTTCTCCTTTGATAGCAGGTGCAACTGTCAGATGGCAGACTGCAGCCGTTGTCCCCAGACCAAAGGTATTTTTAAAAGATTTTTCTTTTTGTCTTCTAATTTAAATGAGAGAAATACAAAGGAGTGCTGCAGTTTAGAGGGAGGGAAATGCACTCTGGGTAGGTAATAGTTGTCCCTCTTCTAGAAACATCTTCAGTTTCGTGCTTTGTGAACTTAAGTTTGTGTGATTTCCACTGTCCCCTATGTCCCCCCCCAGCAATAAAATCAAATAAATGCTTTGCCTTTCAAAAAGAGGAGGGGGCGGGGGGGAAGGAACAAAAGAAAAAGCAAAAGCAGGGGAGCAGTTTGCTCTCAGTGTTGCATTTGTAAGAGAAGGGATGATGCATGGCTTAGATTTGTATCTTTGCCAGCAGGGCTCTTCTGTTTTTCTTAAGGTCTCACCTCTGCAGGGCTGAGGTGTCTTACAGCACAGTTGTCTACCATAAGTAGGGGCATTGCATCGAAGTACTTGTTAACTGATGTCATGAGTGGGGAAATGTAGGTCTGTCATGATAGATCTTGTGGGTTCTCAGAATTTTTCATACCAAGGGCCATGTTTTGATGAGCATGTCCTACTCAAAACTTTCCTTCTCCCCATCTTGGGAGCAGCTGATCTAGCTTATTGCCCACGTATTCCCCAGCACTCACCCTGTGCTTACTTGTGGCTTCATAACCATCTAGCTGTAAAATTTTATTGACTTCCTTGACTAAAAAGCTTCCTCTGCAATGGAAGGAACATGCCAAACTAATGTCTCTTCCTTTGTTCCATGCTAAAAAAAATGAAAATAAAAATAGTGGCCAGAACAGAGAAACGCTTCCTGAGAGAGCTGATGCGAAGAACAAGCTAACGTGTTCAATATGCTTGAAGGAGTTTAAGAGTTTGCCTGCTCTAAATGGTCACATGAGGTCACATGGAGGAGTAAGAGCATCTCCTAACTTCAAACAGGTAGCAGTCCATTTTACTTCAGTATTTGGCGCTCTCCTTTTCACGTTGATGTTTGCTTGCTTTGCCATGCTTTGCTTTGCTGTCAAAACTTGTTCTTCTCAGCGCTATTTTGTTACGTCATACCCTGTGTAAGTAGAAATGCACACAATGCTGCTAGTTTGCAGGCCAGAAGTCTTGCTTTAAAGTCAGAGGCAGTGGTGGGACAGAACAGCGTTTGTCCCTCTCTGTTTCTCTGCATGTTACAAAAACACCCTACAAAGTCATGTCAGGAGGGTCTAAATTTTTTTCCTCTCATATTTGTTTATTATATTAGAAATATCAGGAACATCAAGTCTTCCTTATTTTTGTTTGGGCTACTTGGATGACTAAGGGATGTTTATTGGACGCATTCCCAGGCTTTAATTGAAGGAGCAGGATTGTTGAATCTTTGACAGCTTTCTTCCCAAGTGTTTTACTTCTATAGGTATCAACAAATACCAAATAAAAAATGTTGGTTTGAATTGTTCTGCATAAAAATAACTTGCCCTGTCAGTCAATCTTTCTCTGTCCTGATATTTTGGAAATTCTGTCCTACCAAAGAATACCATAGGAAGGCAAAGAGCTACCAGAGTTACACCATCTCTGTCTGTTTTTAGGTGGGTGATGGAGAATTCTGCCTTTATAGTAATAAAAAGAGGATGTGTTTATCTCCCCTCCTGCAAGTTATCTTGTAAAGATGCTTAATGTGGGCATTTATCACCAAGGCTGAATCCTATGTAGGAGTCATAAGTAATCTGCCAATTTCATTCAAGGCAAATGAGAAGTCCAAGAAGCAACGCTGTTTTGTGTTTTGTGACCCTGGCCACTTCTTTTCAGCCACGGTGCATACGTTGTGTAGTGTATCGATCCAGAAGTAGCCCTCCCTCACTCGGGCTGAAAGCCTTTAATTGTCTGTACAGGATGAAGGAGAGAAACCACCACAGCAGCTGCTGCCTAAAGAGGTGGATAGCCTCGCACCCATCGTCATGCCAGTGTCTGTCCCTGTAAAGCTTCTGTCACCCGAGCCCAGCACGCAGCCCTCTGCCAGCACTGCCACAGTCAAAGACAAGCCTGCCAACTCTGTGTCAGATGATGAGATGCCCGTTCTCGTGAAGATGACTTACTCTCCACCGTGCAGTCCAAAAGTGGGCAACCCCTGCTCATCCTCTGTGAGTGCTGCGTTTCTTGCCACTAACTGTGCTGTGCTTGTTAAATCCCTTTGCTTGTAGTGCTGCTACTTTCTAAAACATCTATATTTTAGAATATTTTCTGGAATCTTAATGTTGCCTAATAAACAAAAAAAGGCCTGTAACATCATAGCATTTCTTCCTCAGTCATTTGAAAATATTAATTTTCCCTTTGCTGGGGCATCAAGACCTCAGTTGAAAATAAATAATTTGAAATTGGAATGTGACATTCTTTTATCCCACTAGAACAAAGGGATTTAGTATCTTTTTACTGTTTTTGTTTTTCCTTTTCAGGCTGCTTTGTTTTTATGTTATTGCTTAAATTCAGCAGTTTTATTTCTTCCTGTTTTTTAAAGTCAGATATATGTGCTTCTCATTTCAGCCAGAGATAGGAGGGCACTGTGCAGTGCTTACAGTGTGTGCTCTAAGCCAATATGAAGCTTGCCAACTCAGAGTTTTGCAATGAAGTCATTTTTCCCTTTCTGCATGCATCAGATCTAAGGGTTAATCACTGGGAATTCTGATATAGGAAAAATAGCTATGCTTAGTGCTTACGTTTCGCTCATAAAACTGAAATTGTCAGGCAGCATGAGGAATTTGAGTACTTGAATGAGATGTGAGAATGCTCTTTATTGTTTTCCTGAAAAAGTCCTGGAGCAAGCAGTATTTATTTCATGTTCCAATGTAGGAATAGATGCTACTCGTTCCTTCAAATCCATACTTGCAGACTACGCCATGATAAGAGATTACTGGGGAGTATAAGTACTGTATGGTATTACCTGTATAATGCAGAGAAATACTCTTGTGATTTTTTTTTTCTTTCTCATGAGGCTGATGGCCAAATGAGGGGACAGCATATACGGTTGTGGGTGACTCCTTATAATATTCATATATTTATGACCCCCCTCCTGACCCTTCACTCAGACATACAGGCTAATTTTCAATATATATAAAATCTTTACTCTCTTCCTTTCAGACAGAGGTTTTACACATAAACTTCCACTTTACTGTGGAAGCCAGCATCTCACAGTACTTGGTTTGTAACTCAGCAGTATAATTTTTCTTTTCTATTTCTAGTTTCAGGAGAGAAAAGGGACAGTCTTTTCTGAATCCTTGAGCTCTGAGTGGGAGATCTTCTCCAGAGACATCAGAGTAGGTGGCTTGGGCTTGTGTATTTCTGCAGCGTATGTAAAGTGACTGTGATTAAATCTGCCAGTGTTTGGCTAAATGCGCATTCATTCACTCAAAATTATGCTTGCAGTCTTTGTTATGGCCCAAGCAAACTTAACTCGCACAGTTTCCTCTCTGGATCCTACCTTTTATATAAGCAGTAGCATTGGAAATGTTCAGAGATCAAAAGATCTACAGTTCCCTCTTCTTCCGTAAAGAGATTGTGCCATTGGAGACTTTTTTAATACCAAAGAACTGGAGCTGTGTCGCCTTTATTTATAGTATGCTTTGAGCTGTCCAGAAAAGCTCCCACAAAGCGCATGGAATTGGTAAAATCAAACAGCAGAAAGAAACTAAATATTCAGCAGGGGTACAGGATGGTGAGCTGAAGCTAGCAGTCAAGTGAGGTCCATCAGGATATACCCAGAGTGGATCTATCAAGGTGCGGCAGCAGAGCCCGCAAGGATGCATTCAGTCTTGGATAATGGCATTCAGTTCCTGGAGCTTCAGAAAAGTATTGGAGTGATTCTGCATTGACAGCTCATGGACAGAATGATCTCCTTTAATATTCAATGTGATCTGTTTTGAAAGTAGTGTTGGCATAGCCACGCTGAGGCTAAAGTATACTACTGTAGGTGAAAGCGTAGGAGATGGAGGTGTATAGGACTTCTAACGTGTCTTGGTTGGTTAGTTTGCTTTACACTAGTGAGAAAGGAATACCAGCTTTCGCACGTTTAAAGAGCAGAACAAAATGAGCCCTTAATCAAAGACTTGGATCTGGCCTTCTGGGTTTTTTTTAGGTTTTGGGTTGTTTGGGGTTTTTTTTCCTTGAGTTTAGGGTTTTTTCCCCTTTCTCCTCTTTGAACACTAAATGTTCACTATTGTGATGGACTATGTCTGTGGTTACAGGTAACCCTTACCCTTTCACTGTTCTGAATGTCCATTATCAACAAAATTATCTCAAGCTGCATTTTTTCCTGCAAAAGGAAAACTCTTCTTAATTTTTTTTTGAGAGAAAAAATGTCAACAGCTGTTGGAGAGGATACAGCCATGATCTAACAGAGAGGACAGGACTTCTGTAATCAAAAACATTTCCGCAAGCTGGAATGTATTAACATAAGGGATAAGGGGTGACAGTGCTAATGCTCCTTTAACATGATTTTCATTGGGTGAATGTGATTCTCAAGAACCACCCATGGTGTGAAGATGTATCTTGTCTAAACATACATTGTAGTCATTTACTCTATGTAGTAGTAGAATTTACCAGATGATGCAGACATTCTGCAACCCTATCTGTCAGAAATTTTTCTTCAGCTTTCCAAGTTTATCCTAAAGATCTACAATCTGAACACCTAAAGGCAGTGTATTTAATACTGTGTTCATCTACCAGCTTCTGTGTGTTCTTAAAGCACAACCTGAGAACCTGTTTCTTCCCACCTCACCCCCACACCCCAGAAATCCAGGTTCCAGGTTTGCACAAATTCTGTGCCTTCTGATTCTGTGGACTCTAGGGATTTATTGTTAAATGATTTTAAACATTCAAATTCTAGAATTCTAGGCATGTTACAATGTGTGAATTTCCCAAATGGTCATCAACTACCCTTGTTCTTCCAATGAAAGAGGAGAGAGTTAAGTTCAAGATTTGTTGCAGCTGGACTGTACTCAAGCTGATGGGAATGTAGTGATAAGAGGCAAAGAATTTGAATTTATTACATTTTTCTTCCTTTCTTGCTGCTGAGTACTGCAGTAATTTCACTGAGCTCATGTGTCCTTCCCAGTCAAACAAAATAAATGCATAGGAAAACATCTCACACAAAGTTTCTAATAAACTGTGGCTGGGTAATGAAGTAACTCCCAACAGCCTGTGTGTGTTCAGTGCAAATAGAAGTGCCCAGGGTGCTTGGGTGGAGCTGAAGGGTGTGAGACTCATGGCCTGGGAGAGCTGTTCCCTGCACCTTTAAAAGCTGGCAGCAGCCTCTCCATGTCTTTGCCTGTGGCTCAGCCCTACCTTGACCCAGAGGGCTTGCTGAGGGAGGTGAGGGTAATTTGTCCTGGTTTTTCTCACTCCCCTGAGGTTTCTGTGTGGCACTGTACTGACCAGGCTTATTATGGTGGTACCTGAATAACTGCCTGGGGGTAACAGCTTTTCTGTGGCTGTTGCCCTAAGCTGTAGGGGATTGTGTGCAAACCACATTTAAGCATGCCTAAATACTAAGTTCTGCGTGTTTTTGTTTAGGAAATTAGCAAAAAACCTCACCAAAGTGCTGTGAAATTGGAAGAAAGCTTCAAACCATTGCAGGACAAGAAGAAGTATCGGCACAGACCCGAACCTCTTTTCATACCTCCTCCTTCCTTCAACTTCAGCATGTCCCACTCTGGTGCCACTCTGTACCAGAGCCAGCTTCGCTCTCCCCGTGTTCTCGGAGATCATCTGCTAGACCGGACGCATGAGCTCCCACCCTACACTCCACCACCAATGCTTAGTCCAGTTCGGCAAGGGTCTGGTCTCTTCAGCAGTGTTATCACATCATCTCATAGCACCTCGCATACTCAGCTGCCGCTTACTCCACTGACATCTACTCCACGGGTGCTCCTGTGTCGGTCTAGTAAGTGTTACATTTGCGGAGTGGCAGTACGTAGTAAATAATACTGTCCTCTTTTCTGGTGTTACCACATTGATGATTTTGACATGTGCTCACATGCATGCCTGGTTCTGTTACTTCACAGGAAAAGTGCATCTTTATCAGGGTTTTTGCCTTGGATTTTGTAGAGGTGGTGCTAAAGCATAAAGTGAATAGAGGAGCCTAACCAGCGAGTAAGGCTGTGATCTTGCAGTGTGGTCTGCCTCAAGTAAGGACGACCATGCCTCTCATTACATCTGGGCTTTCTGAAATGGAGGGAAAAGACCTGGTTTGAGACACAGGGTTCATTTTAAGCATTTGCTGTTCGGTGCTTCATGAGAGAAGGTGTCTAGTCATACATGATCAGGGCAGTAGAAACCTCTGCAAGTTAGGACATTTCTCTTCCCTGTAACAACTTAGACTTTCTGTCTAAATATTGATAAAGGGTAATTTTTGCTCAATAGACTGGAGTAATGATGATGTTAACAGGGAAGTAACAATGCAGCCTGGGAGGTGGAGCATCAGCAGCGATACAGTTGTTACCAAATTACCCTTATAAACTCGAACTCCAATCTCTGTTTCAGATAGTATTGATGGAAGTGTCATTCCGGTGACACCTGGGCCTGGAGAACAGACTGTTGAACCGTAAGAAAAACAATATTGTTTTTGTCACTGCTTTTATAGACTAGCTCCAGCATAGAGCATGTGGCCTGTAGTGTTTTGAACTGGGCAGGTAGTGTTCAACTGCCTGAAATCATGTTGGGCTGGATGCGTTTAAGTTGCTCTGTATGGTGGCTGAGGACATTGGGAGCAAAGTGGCTGTGGGAGATGTAGATGTCATGGCTCAAAAATGCTAGGAGAGGCTTGGTGGGAGCCACTGAAGGTGAAACAACAGTTGGTGACAGCTCGGAAGAGGGCTGAGAGGAAAACATAGGCTGATCCAGTACTCTTGCTTTTATTTATTTATGTATGTATATATGTAAAAACTGTGGAGCTTTGGAGAGGTGTTACCTGATAGGTTCCCCAGGGCAGACTACAAACACGATTGTCCCTCAGCAGTAATGTCTCTTTCTGCTCTCTGCTGAAGAGTGCCATTCGCTATGGAACAGAAAGCTACTGTTTCTGGCATCTAGCCTCTTTGCTAGTCAGCACGCATATAGGCTAGCTTGGGTTGTCCGTAAGGTATGATGTCTCAGTATAGTTTAAATTGTGTATTGAAATTTTTGTTTCCCCACAAGAGATTGGCTGTCTCTAATATTCAAAATACTTATCCCACTAGGGGTAAAGCATTGCGTAAAGCAATCTGACACAATTTCCTGCCACTCAAGTGTAATAAAAGTTTTGTTGGAAACAAAGCAAACACTACTGTGACTTCTGTTTTTTCTGTACGTTGTGTAGTTGAATACTTATTTATTTATTTATTTGTCTTTATAGACGAATCAATATCGGGTCCAGGTTCCAGGCTGATATTCCTGAGCTGCAGGACAGATTGCTAATGGAGAAAGATGTGCACAAGGCTACTTTGGTTTGGAAACCGTGGCCAGAACTGGAGAACAAAGTCTTCCAACAAAGAGGTACAATGAGTTGCCATTTTAGAAGTTCATACATCAACCTGTGCCTGTTGAAGAAAGTCACATTGATTTCTCATGTGTATACAGTACAAAATGTTCAAGAGAGTATTAATTACTGAGAATGCAGAACAGGATACCAGAACTGCATGTCACTGGTTTAGAGTAACAACATTATATAGTGACACTTAAAGTGAAGTCTGGATGAACTGCTTTCTGGCAGCCAAGGGGAATAGATCGTTGCTGGGAAGTGGGGGTTTTTTGGGTACTGAACTGCCTGGTAAGGGAAGAGGTCACAGACGAGAGACAGCTGATGCCTTCTCCTGTGACCATAACTGAGAGGAAATGTGATGGGCTCAGTGGCTTCTACCAGTCCTGAGCAGAGTTTGCTCCTGCTTCCAGCATGGTTCATTTCTGTTTCTCTACCCTGGCTGGAGCCTTCTTGGCACAGCAACATCACTGGCCTGTGCAAGCCACTGCCTCACAGCTAAATCTCTGCCTCTGGCTCAGCAGTAGCCTGTCCCATCCCAAGGATGCACTCTGCAAATCCCATCACATCCCCCCCTCAGTGGGTGATCCTAAAACCAAGAGATGAGGTGCTGGGGAGAGAAAATATAAAAGCTGCTGCCCTGAACTACATTGTCTTTGAGTGGCATTACAGAATCCTTGGCTCTGGATGTTTGACTGACCGGCTACTGTATAAGCAGTAAAATGTTGACTTGTTTCTGACAGTGGAAGACCTTTTAAATATGAGCTGTTCCAGTGTGTTACCTGGTGGAGGAACTAACTCGGAATACGCTTTGCACTCTCTCTTTGAAGCGAAAGGAGATATTATGGTAAGATAAGAAGCCGAAAGGGGAGATATGATCCTCTTCTGCAGATAAATTAGCATGCTTTATTAAATGGATTTAGATATGGTTATATAAAAAAGAGATTTCTGACTGATTCGCAGTGATGCTTTAAACATCCTGTAACATTTTGGGGGAATGACTTTTCCCTTTCATTCTTTAATAAATTTAAATTTCAAAGCAGTGCCTCTCTGAAGCCTTACTGTATATTTCATATAGATAAGATTACTTAGTTTATAGCCTTGGGGCTTTGAATGTCTCCCAGTGCTTGCTCCAGCCCTGATATTTCACAAGCTTTATATTTGGTCACAGAGAGCTTAGTCCTCTTCTAGCCCTTATAAAAAACGTTTTTTGTAGCCGCAATCACATCTACTTATTTGTTCAGAACTGTGAGGTAATTGCACACAGTTCTCATATAAATAATGCATTTCAAATATTTGCATTAGTTTAGCGATGGGAATGTTATTAACTAGTGCAAAACATCCATTTTGCCCAGTGTTAGGGAAAGACAAGGCTCTGCACCAGTTCCTGGAAAGCCAATTTAAAACAAGATGCAACAGAACACAGGGCTGGAACGAATCTCACGGGGTTGTCTAATACAGTGGTTTTTAGCTTACGTCCCAGTTTCCTTAGGCTCTGTTAGCTGTATCTGAGGGGTCTGAGACAGGTGACTGAACTTACTGTCAGGACATGAAATTTGCTGTATAGGGGGGGTCTGCATTGTCAGGGGAGAAATTTTAGGGATCCACAAATCATCTGTCTCCTTGAACCAAAGGAGGATTGACTATACTTGCTGTCATTCCTGACAGATGTTGACCCAAACAGATATTCAGAAAGACTTCATGCTGTAAATATTAATGCTATCAAACCAACCATTAAATATTAGTATTAATTAACACTATCAAATAAACACTATAAACATATTTGTATGTGGCAAGCAGAAGGGAGGGAAGAGCTGGAAGTTGCTAAGTAATAGCCACATTTGTGCTAATTAAGGCAGGACAGGTGTGCATTAGGTGCAGTGTTAATGGGCCTTGGAGTAATTTGATGTGATTTTGTATGACAGAAGAGAAAAAAGAGAGAAAATTAATTCATATCCTCATACCAAATAGTCTTCTAAATGCAGTCGTATGCAGCAGCTGACTGCATTTGCTAATTCTGCTTTTCCCTGCTTTTTTATTTAGGTTGCTCTTGAGAAGCTGCTGTTGAGAAAGCCAGTAAGATTGAAGTGTCATCCTTTGGCAAATTACCACTACGCCGGTAGGTTTCCTTGCAATCTCTGTGTCTGCTGGTATACAGAGTCCAAGGCTGGCATCCCAGGCTGGCACATGGGATCACCCTGCACTCTCTGCTGTCTGCTGCAGGGATGGCAGCATCTAATAGAGAGGTGATGTGGACACTGCCAAGTGGTACTTCCAGAGCCTTTTGTTACAAGTTTGGCAGTTTTTTACCTGACTGACGACATACAGAAACTCTGCATCCATGTTGCTGTCTAGGGTTCTACAGATGTAAAACTGCCTTGAGTAATTTTTTTTCCTCTTTTAAACTAACATTTAACTTGTTGATCTCCTTTTAAAGCTGCTGCTATTCATAGATTGTATTACTACCAGTAAGTTGTTCGTTTTCTGGTATGTAAACATCTGCCATCATGCTTTCCTTTTCTGAGGTGATGGTGCATAAGTGAATATGATAATCATGAGCATCCTTCCAAAGAGGCAGTGCTGTAACTCTCACTAGTTAGTGTCTTAGTACTGAATACAGAGGCTCTCTTTGAGTGGATTTAGCCAAAAACAAACAGGTCTGGCCATAGTGACTTCTTTAACAAACACAGCAAGAACTGCATTTTGGTGATGAAGCAGAAGTGCCCTGTGAAATACACAAGGTGGTGTGAAGCCATTGGACTTAAGTTATGTCACCTAAGCATAGGTGGCAAATGTCTTGCCTCTGCAGCCCTCCATGTTATTGTTTAATGCTTCATAGTGGCTAACAACTGCTTGGACACACAGAATAGGGTTTTGTGTAAGAGATTTAAGACTTTATCTCTAGTTTAGGCTCAACAGGAAACAAGCGAAGAATCTTCTGATGGTCAGTCAATGACAATGTCCAGGGTCATATACTCATTTCCAGTTACAATCATTGTGCTACATAAGTATAGAAGCAAGCTACTTCCTGGCTGTAGCAGCTCACTGGAAAGACTCCCAAGTAACAAGGACTCTTTTGTAAAGCAACTCCTTAACCCTTTGGCCTGAGAACAAGAACAGAAACATGTTTGATGGCAGCTGATAACGAGAGTGAATACATGTGAAGATCAGGTTTTGAGTCTTGTCTGGGGAAGATGCCTAGTGCCTTTGATAACAGCTCTGTTGCGGTCCAAAGGGTGGACGATGGGGGTGGATGAAGAAGGAGGACGTCAGCCAGGAACTTTGATCAGGGTCTCTTGTCTGAAGAGATGACACAAAATCATATGTGTGAGACAGTGCAGGGCATGAGAGCAGGAAGATGAGGAGATATCCCAGCAGCCTCATCTTCAGTAAGAGATCTAATTAGCAGAGCAGATAAGAAATTTCTGCCTGTGTTGCAAAGGAGGAGGAACAGTCTTTACTGAAGCAAGTACTTCTGAAGTAGTTTCAGAAAGTGTTTTATTGTGATGCAGGGAGGAGCCAGGAGAGACTGTTTTGTTTAATCTTTCATGTGAGATGACACTAATCCTTGTTAATTAGCACTGAGACCTGTGGACATCAGTGTATCCCTGTTTCTTAAGCAGGAGAGGAAGTTTGATAGTTTGATTCTGCTTATCACAGCATGAAACAAAATCTCACCAATCTGGATTTAAGTACCATAAAATAACAAGACAAAGCATTACTTACTAATGCTCTTGAATGCAACGTGTCATTGTAACTTGTATTGACAGCCACGCTCTAGCATCATGCAGTGGCTCTTGAATAATAGTTTATTTGCGGTTGATAATCAGCCACTCAAGGCATATGGGAATTTCTCAGAATCTAGTGCATGAATAGCTTAATGTAACTTCAGGTGGCATTTGTTTGGGTTAACTCTTTGGGCTTTCTGCTCCGTAGTCAGAAATCACAGTTCTCAGGCACCACCACATTTAAAGGTGGAATAGACCAAAACAGAGCATGGCACTGACTCGTGAGTGTTAATTGATACCACAAACAATAAATATTCAAACTCATCCTCAGCACTGCCCTTGAATGAGGATACAAGCAAATAGCTCACCTTTGAAACCTGTTGACTTGTGAGGGAAGCAGGTTGTAAAATTTGAGGCTTTTCAGTTGTGTGCCAAGAGACCTAGGCATGCCTGACCCAGGGCTGCTTGGAAGAACACCCTAATCTCTCTATCCTAATGCTTTGCCATCTGTCAGGATGGTGTTTTAAGTAAGAGAGAGGGAACGCATATCTAATACAAGAGGAGCGCTGTTGCAAACACTTGTATTGTTTTCATTTGAATAGTGGAATTTGTCAGGTCTGAAGTTCTCCTGCAGCGAGAATTGCAGGAGAGATGGTCTCTGAAATAATGTGCTTCAGGTGGTCTGGAAACTTCTTGTGCATACTGTGACAGGGTGTGGATCAGGCCCAGCATATGCTGTATGTAATGGATTTGAGCCACCTCTCAGGAGGGCTCCCTGGGTGTAGGTGTAGCCCCCTTGAAACCAACCGGTTAGGCCCAAAGCCCCTAGATTTGTAGAAGATATTTATTGTCAGTTAATCTGTGCAAAAACAATATGGCAGGTAAAAGAAAATGTAGAATAAATGTCTAACCATAAAGATCATCTTTAAAATTTTATCTGTATTCCAAAGTCCAAAATTCTTTCTTGCTGCATTGCAGATTTTTCTCTATACACGTTCTCTATATCTCCCTCAAGCTAACAAGAGCAAAAGCGGTTTCCCAGCAACCAGAGTTAAAAACAGCTTTTCTTCTGTTTCTTTTCCTACACAGGATTTATTCTATTAATTAGGTTACTTCCAATTAACCCGCATAATCTTTTAAGGGTCTCGGCTAATACCACAGCTATTGGGGAAACTCTGTAAGGCCTGAATCCTCCATAGGTGTACAACAAAATTAGTTCATGGAAGTGATTCTTTTTTTTTTTTTTTTTTCTTTTTCCAGGAGGGTGGGGTAGAGGCAGGAGAGCATGACTAGAGAGGTTTGCCAAAAACTAAAATATCTCCTTTGCTGTTGTCGTGCTTTTTAAAGTTATATTTTGGCATAGCAGAGCAAGCCCCTGGACTGAATCAGTTCGTTTACCCCTGTCCAAAGGGAGGGTAAATGCAAATGACTGGCAAGCTGTGTAAGAAGGGAATGATGCTGGTTCAGGGTGGGAAAGATGGCAAGGCAGTGTGTCAGCAAAAAGATCTTTGGGTGATAACAGAATAAATAAAACTCGTGGCTTGAAGCCAGTGCCTTTCTCTGGTGCTTAAGAGATCTTTAGAGTAAATCTCTGTGGAAATAACTAATGCATACTTACATCCAGTACTGGAAAAGCCTGCAGAAAACAGGTTGCAAAAAAGTTAATTTTGTAGTTTTCAGCATATGAAGGACTGGTGAGGTACCTGCTTTTAAGCTTGTGAGCCTGGGAGTTGACACTGAAAAGCAAAACACTGGCAGTTAATAAAAAAAAAAACCCTCTCTATTTTTTTATAGACAGAAGTAACCTGTGGAGTTCAATACCATGCATGGTGCCAAGCCCAAGTTAACTGAATTCAGTGCAGAGGCAAGCATTTCTATGGAGAATGCTAACATTGACAGGAATATTAGGGATTTCTTCTGATAAAAGTTTTAGATGTTTCAGAAACTCTCAGATTGAAGTAGAATCTTCTCATAGTGTAAGTCATTTCAAAGGCATCCGCTTTATGGCTTCTTGCATATCCATCCTTTAATGTATGTAATGCTGCCCACTTTTACAAACAGGACACTGCTTTGATGCAGTAGAGCAATCCTGTGTTTCTTCTGTTTGACTAATACTGAGGAAGCACAAATTCATTTCAATTTAAATGTTGATTTCACATTTTCATGGACAGTTAGGCTGGTGAAGTAAACACAGAATAACAGTATTTGAAAGTTTTATATACAGCTTCCATTAAATGATCAGAAAGTAGTTTGTGTGTATTGCACATTGCTACAATCTTTATCTACTTGTGACCTCTGTCACAGAGGATTTAAGTGTCTTACCTCAAGCCATGCAAGTGAAGAGCTGCAAAAGGACCTTATAGGAGTTACCGTCTGGAGAACTAAATGATAGATGGACTTCTGTGTAGTTAAATGTAAAGTGGCATATATGGGAATAAACAATACAAGCTTTACATATAAAATTATGAGCTCTGTGGTGATACTTCTCAATTAGAATGAGAACTTGGGATTATAATGCTAGTTCTACGAAAGCATCAGCTCTGTATTTTACAGCAGCTAAAAAAACCTCAAGTCAAATGTTAAGATGATAGAGAACATGGTGATGCCACTGTGCAAGTCTGTGGATTGCTTATATGTTGACTACTACGTGCCTTTCTGGTCCCTTCATCTCTATAGGAATGTTTTAGTACTGGAGAAGGTTGAGAGGGACAGCAGTAATGACCAAAGGTGTGGGAGTGATAGAAGGGACATGCAATCCTGAGTAGCATGGAGATGATGGTTGAGATTGGGTTCAGTTTCTCTTCCACTTGAAGAACGAAGGGTCAGTCAGTCATCCAGTGAAGCTACTGGGAGCCGGGAAACAAAGAAAATTATGTGGTTCTTCACGCAGAGGGTCTGCTATCTGTGAAACTCCTCAGCAAAGGATGTTTTGGGTGCAAGAAGCCTAATGAGTTGAAAGGAAGAGCCGGTCAGCACTTACAAGGACAGTTACTAAATAAGCAAATTGCAACAGACTCAGGAAATCTCCTGTGCTGAAAGTGGTCAGAGGTTAGGAAAAATTAGGGAGAGGCATTGTATTTCCTTGCCCTGATCTTACTGTTTCCTAGGCAACTGCCTGTGATCGCTGCTGGAGACCAAATACTGGTTAGATGGACTTGAGGTCTGAGTCAGTACAGCCATACTTGTATTGGGGTAGCAGCAATGACTAGCATGTGCTTGAGGTTTCCTAGTTTTTGTTTCAGATACTATATCAACATAAAGGTGGTGGGGTTTTATTGTTTATAATGAATTCACTCTTGTTTTTAAGGCTCTGACAAATGGACGCATCAAGAAAGGAGGCTGTTCAAAGAGGCATTGTCCACCTACAGCAAAGATTTCATATTTGTACAGAAAATGGTAAGGTTATTTCTGTTCTGTCAATTGTTTTTTTCATTTGCTGTATTCTGTTCCCCTTCATTTTCCCTCCAGTGCCAGACCAGCTTATTGCAGATATAGAGCCAGCGGTGATTACGAGAACACCAATAAGAGTGGTATATTCTATTTGGTGTACCTATGCATGCAACTGCAGCACCAGTAAAAAAACTTTTAAAACAAATAAATAAAATCTGTTCCTCTTGTTATTATATGTAAAAGTTTTCACACCTGGAATCCAAGTCATGGCATTCCATATGTAGGAAAGGTATGGTGCTCTGCTGTTATCTTGGTGTTCTGTGGCAGTTTCTTAAAAAGTACCTGCGTCACTGGCATAGAGCCCTGTACCAGAAAGGCCAATAAAGAGAGAACGTGTTTGGGCTTAATTTTCATGTTTTGCCACAAAGCAGAAAAGACGAGGTGTATACATCTCAGGGCAGAATACCTCACTTGTTAGCTCAAATGTTGAAAACATTTGGGTTTATGGGAACCAAGTCTTAATTCCTAGATTTCTCAGTGGTATTGTACACTTGAGCTACAAAAGTGTATTCTCAGTCATTTTCTAATGAGAGTCTAGAGAATCCTAGAGAAGTGTACTGAAGCTGAAATAATCAACACAAATTTGACTGAAAAACTAAAAAAATTATTCTACAAGAGTATTCCTGCTGTAGTCAAACTGCCTCTTTTTCTCCATTTGAATGTTTGAGAAATAAAGCCTACCTCTTGGAATATATTAAAATTGTGTTGAATGAAAGCAAAAAATTGAGACTGGACTATTTCTGCAATTACTTAACTACAGGTTAAGTCTAAGACGGTTGCACAATGTGTGGAATACTACTATACCTGGAAGAAAATCTTGCGTTTGGGACGGAAACACAGAACACGTTTAGAGAAAAAAAGAGAGGAATGCCTGGTAAGTCTAAAAGAATATGAGAAAGTTTGACACTTGATAATTTTTATGTTCATCCTGTTTGGAGGAGAAGGTTGAACTAGATGACATAGGTCTCTTCCAACTGAAATTATTCCATAATTCTAAATTCTGTTCTGTATGAGCATTCTGTGACCTCAGCTACACCATGATTTTGTGTTCCTGGACTGTAATGGGATAAAAGTGTTTTGACTAGTGCATTATCTAACTCTAGTCCAGCAATTACAGCTTTTGGTACTGATGAAGCAGGTGAACCTCTGTAAATTATTCCTGTGCCTGTGTGTGCTCCTAAAGGCTGCTCTAATATCCTAGTACAAAAAAACATTTACAAAGACTGGCAATGCAGTTCTTTGTGTACAGGGTCTGTATTACTGGTACTCTGAGTAGTCTTAAGAAATGGGGGGGGGGTTGTTGTTTTTGTTTTTTTTTAAATAAGTCATTTGACTATGAATATAGCATACATTGTTATTCTAACAGCTGGGGGAGAGTATTGCACCTTGGCATCTGTAGATTCTTGGAGCCACAGCTCTGTAACGCAGATGGGAGGGTGTTTTGAGCCCTGCAGTGAAGCTTCATGAGCTGTACCTTGTCCATTAAGGGGTGGTAGTTCCAGCAAGATCAGAAGTTCATTCAGGATGGGAAAAAAATACTGAAACCTGGAAGCAGACTTGACTAAGCAGCATGCTGTAGCAGTACTGTCTATGTCCTGCTATGCAGTACTGTCTGTCTTTGACCATATTTCTAGTATTTCTTAAATACACTATTTCAGACAAGTGGAGAAGAGGAGGTGTTAGAGGAAGATGAGGAGATCGAAGAAGACAGAAAGGAAGAAAGGGAAATGCAGAAGTCTCCTGACCCACCAGCTATCCCTCTTGTTGGACCTATAGATCTGCCTGCCCTTCAGAGCCTTTCACTTTCTTCATCCTCCTTCATCTGTGAAATGCCAAATTGTGGCGCTGTACGTGTGTTTAGTATCTTTAATAGCAGGGGGTTTGTATACTAGTGGATTGTGATTTGGGGAATCAGGGTTTTAGACTATTCCTGGCCAGTGATATCTCCTGAATATCACTGGACAAATAATTTTGCCTGCTTTTAATTCCCACCTCACAAAATATAGACACTATGCTGATCTGTAGATAAAGTTGAATCCTGAGATGTTGTATCAATTAGAAATACCGTATGGTAACAGCTCTGATTACCTTTTTGTTATACGACTGTAATAATAGGATAGCTCACTGGTTTGTTTTATTATGACTAAGTTTCTTTAACTCTAGTGGGATATAGCTGAAAGCAAGCAACATTTGACCAAGTAGATTGTGTGCATTAGGTGTGTACAGTTGTTCTATTGTAATATGCATTCAGCATACTTCTTTCTGCAGTTCCCGTTCCAGTGCAGTATTTCTTGGTTTTTTTATTTTTTTTTCTTCCCTCCATCCTACTCTCTGTCAGGTGTTCAGTTCCCGACAAGCGCTAAATGGCCATGCTCGCATTCATGGAGGTACGAATCAGGTGACAAAAACACGGTGCACCATTCCAGGCACTAAGCAGAAATCTGGTACGCAGAGTGGATACTGCTCCATCAAGAGTTCACCCGCCCACAGTACAACAAGTGGTGAGACCGACCCAACAACAATTTTTCCTTGCAAGGAGTGTGGCAAGTAAGTGAAATACGACTGTCTGCAGTATCGCATCACATTTGCCTATCTATATTCCAGATGAATAGCATTGCAACAAACTCTCTATTTTGCTCTCATGGTCTCAAAAGAACAGTTTCCCCTTAGATGACGTGTCTTCTTACCAAAACCTTCAGCGATTGGTTTGCATGATGTTTTGGATGCTTCCCCCTGCAGTACTTACTCCAATTTTCCTGAATCCATTTACCTGCTAGAATTTCTACATCTGACAGTCTAGCTTCCTGCTTCATCACAGACTTGCATGTGACAGTGGGCAACTTTCTCTGTGTTTCAGTGCTTGAGTTTGTCCATCCTAACATGGGATGGGGTTTCTTCACTTCTTCCCTGGTGTGCAAGATTTGGTGAAACTCAGTACAGGGAGAATTAGGATATGCAGAGATACTGAAGCAACTGTGGGAGCTACAAAATACCTCCAGCAGAGTCTGAATAGGCAATTTTGATACTGTCAAGATGTATAAATCTGGTAGTCTGTCCCTGAAATTCTCACCATGGCATTGCAGACTTCACTGACTTCTATTTCAGGACAAGGAAGCAAATGTACTGATAGGTTGTTGAGTCTTTTTTGGCTCACTTCATCAAAAGCAATGCATTTTTTATCTGATTTTCTTTTCCTTTAAAATTTAGGGTATTTTTCAAAATCAAAAGCCGCAATGCTCATATGAAGACTCACAGACAACAAGAAGAACAGCAAAGGCAGAAGGCTCAGAAAGCTGCTGTGGCAGCAGAAATGGCAGCCACTATTGCAAGAACTACTGGGCCAGTTGGGCATAGTTTGATCCCTCTGGATCACATGAGTTTGGTTAAACATGTTGAAAATGTTGGTGACATTGATGACGATGTTGTTCAGGAGCTGGGTGATGTCATGGAAGAGAATGAAGTCATGGATGCTGACCTTTTATTGGATGATGAAGATGCAGATCTACTGCAGGATGATGCTGAGTTGTAAATAAAGTTGTTTGATAAAGACAGCTACTGAGCACACCCTGAATGGATCAATCAGGAAACGTGGACTGCTTGTTTATTCCCCATTGATTGTAAACTACCTGTTGAAAATGAGAATTCTTTTATCCAGGTCTAGAAAAAAAGAAATCTGCTTTTTTCCCTTTTTTTTTATTAATTTGTGTTTTTGGGGAAAAAAATAAATAATTGGTACAAATATTCTTATAAGGTGTTTTTATCTGAGCTCATTTTGCTGATATCTTCCAAGGCCACTAATTATAGATGTTCATGGTTCTGCTATCACTTCCTGCCAGATGATCCTGGTAGGATCTTTAGTCTTTAACTCTTTTCATTTTAGCCCAATTACAAGAGTGATCTTCACAACTTCTGATGGAACTTTTTTTTTTTGCCTATACTGGATCACTTCCAGCATCTTCTAGAGACTAAATGTCACCTCTGCTAAGGAGATGATTACATTCTTTGGCTTTGTGCTATCATTTTAAGGGGGGGGGGGGGGGGGATTGATTTAACTGTGAAATAATTACAGGAGTGACAGTATCATCTGTAGTATTGCAGTACTTTTTCAGTTCTGTCTTGCCTTAATGCATACATGTTAGGCAGTTTGTAAAAGCATTGGTTACACTGTACATTTCAGAGCTTCCATTTTTGCAAGGTTTTGATCTGCTGATTTTAGAATGACCTAATTCAAGAATTGAAGAAAGAAGATGATTGTACTGTGGTTCACATCATCTGATGGGAACACTGAATCAGGAACACCGCCTTGGTAATCAGATTGCACTGGAAATATATTTTGCTGTGACAATAAATCACACTGTTGAACAGCCATCTCAGTGGTTTTAGGAGAGTGTATGCTTGAGCAATGCAGGAGCTTGCTCTCTCACCAGGCAAATACAGGGAGCGGTTCTTGCCTGTGGAACAGAGATTGATGGAGTATATGCCTTCAGCACATTTTAGTTATTACTTGTAGGGATATAATGTTGTGCCATTTTCAGTCCTCCTCATTACATGAAATTCAAATGTTGTTTATTTAGTAAAACATACTCTAAAGGTGAGTTGACATTGCTGTTTAATTACCATTTCTTCTCCCTTAGGTTCAGATCTACATGCTGGATGTCTAACACCATTTATATAAATATAGATTTGGTTCTCTAAGTAAATAAGATCTCAAAAGAATTGTACCTTGCAGAATGAAAGGATTAAGGAAGAATTGGAGTTAGGTTGAGTGGACCTTTAATTACAGAATATGAATACCGATTTTAGAGATTTCACAGGTAGCAGCACTGATTTTCTTGTGAATTTTGCACAGTAGAAGAGTATTGCTGACTTTATAAAATATTTTGTAAGGCTGATTTCAGATCTTCCAGATTTCAGAGTTGTTTGGTTTTTTTTATGGGTTGGGTTTTGGTTTATTGGGGTTTTTTTGCCATGTCCTAACATCTTAAACAGAATCTGAGAGATGGTGGATCTTATTTTCTACTGTCTTTCTTCCTTGTATAACTATGCAAAATGAGGGTAAATCACAGCACTTTTATATAGGAGTACCAGACCACACAAGTTCAAAACCAGTGGGACTCGTTGGCAGAGAGGTGCCTTCTCTGTCAAAGCCAAGTATGTGAAGCCAAATGACCTGAAGTTTCTACTTAAGATCAAATCTTCTGATACTAAAGAACAACCGTTCAGGAGAATTGAAATCACTTCACGGTTTCTGGTTAGTGATGTTCCTGTGTACATGGTTTGTTTTAGTGGGCTTTTTTCAGAGGTTTTTTTCAGAGGTTTTTTTAGTTGGTTTTGATCAGCGGGTGGAATTTCGCTCCTTCTGCTACATAAGGGATCATGTTCTCAATGACTGTACCTGTGAGTTTCAGGAGATCAGGCAGCAGCTGCCTTTTCTTTCACGAACTGCCAGGCAGCAGACTTCCCAGCAGTTCCTGTCCTTGCTGTGACATGTTACTTTCACAGGGGCCATGCAACCCAGGTTCAGCAGACGGGGTGTTCAGCTGTATGCTGCCAACTAGATCCACTGATAATAAATCTTGTAGATTGTGCAGGTCTTAGTGGTTTGCAAAGTAGAGGCTTTTGTGAGCGGTAACTTGTGCTGACTTTTAGGAGCCCGTGTTAGAGACAACCTGGCAGAGTCTACTCTTTCTCTTCCAAACTTGGATCATTTTGAACTTTTAAAAGATCTTTCTGAGAAAGGCTGCTGCACTGGAAAATGGAAGCATGTTTTCAGATTCCCCTGTTAGTGGTGGGGAAAAAAATGAGTGTTTAAGCAAAGTGATAATTGAAGTCAGTGAGAGTTCTGCTTGAAGAAAAGTAAAACGTAGTAGAAACTTGTGGGCTTGATTCTGAAGAGCAGCTCTATATTAAAGAATCTACAGTGGAACTTTTCTAGCAACAATTGGACAGGTATCTGTGCTAAACCTAGTATATATAAATATATATACATATATATGCCTGGTTCTGTATCATTAATCGGGTGCTGTTTTATTGTACAGCCAAGAAGATAATAGAACAACGATAACCAAAGAAGTTATTCATAAAGGAAAGAGAATGCACATTTCTTAAGCAGTACATGATTTAGGCCTCAAACATTGACTTCATTATTAAGTGTTGCATTGGCTGATGTTAAACAGATGCTGTTCTGCCTATTTGTACATAAGTTGGACATAGTTTTATTTCAGAAAATTTGTTTTCTTGCTGATGGTTGATGATGGCAAACTGTTCACTATTGAACTTAGTCCTCTTTGATAAAACCTGTACATATAGAAAACATATTTTATAAGAAAAATCTTATTTTCAATATTTAACTGTTATTTTATTAGAAGATGGTTGTAAATATTTTAGGTGCTTTAGTGTAAAAAGCAGACTGTAATTTTAGGTGGCAGAGGAAGTAACAAAATAAAAAAAATATACATTTGATATAGCTTGTGATCTATGCTGGTTTCAGGTTCCTGCTGTTAGCATTTGACTTGCACACAGCTTAATTTCAGGTTACTACCTGCCTGGATGTGTGTATTAGGATGGCTTTAGTGGCATGAATTAGTACTTGTTTATTCCCCGCCCTTACATATTTGGTACTGATCAGAACCTGTGCTATAATATTAACTGCTATTTATATGTGTATAAAGAAAGGGTTTATATGATGTTTCCAGTCATTTTTATACTTTGGTAAAATATAGTTGGCTGGGTTTTTGCTAACAGGGTTGTATAACTTTTTTTTTAAAGTACTTTTAAGAGGGGGGAAGACGGTTGAAAACTAGCTTCATGTGTAATTGTTTTTCAAAGAATTCCTGACTCGTTCCATAAAAAAAAAAAAAAAATCATGTATTCACCTCTATACATGAGTATTCTTAGTAAGAACGAGTTGTGGTAAAAAGCATTCTCAGAAAGGGGGAGAAAGCTGAAGAAACCCCCTTTACCTCTCACCTTCAGCAAAAAAAAGTAATGTCACCTGCCCTGCCTCGGGGTCGGAAAAATTAACAATTCCTCCTTTCTTCCCTCCGGCACTGGGTGTCCTCTCCTGGAAAAACAGGACGGAGAGCGTCTGTGAGGGGAAGGGGGCGGGGGGCGACCGTTGGCGGGAAACGGTTTGGGCGCGCGCGGAGATGAGGAGAGCCGTTACATCGTCGGTCAGTACTGAGGCAACGCTCGGGGGAGGCGGGGATGGGGGTGGGGAGACGAGTTGGGAGCTCGTATGGCGCCGTTCGGCGCCATACGAGCTCCCAACTCGTCTCCCCACCCCCGAGCGCGGCCCTGCCCGACGGTACCGCAGCCTCAGCGGGGGTGCTTGCTCCGCCATGGCGGCGGGGGCGCTCTTCGGCCGCCTGTGGGCCCGGCGGATGAATCCGCTTTTCTCCTTCCGGGCCGTTCGCTATGGTCGGCGGGTTGGGGCGGAGAGAAGATGGCGGTGGGGTGGCTGTGGCGGCGGCTCTTTCAGGTGGGATGTGTGGCGGGAGAGGGGACGGGTAAGGCCCGTTCTCCTTCATCTCTTTTTTCCCTTCCTTCGGCGTCTTCACTGCTGAGGGGAGAGGAAAAAGGGAGCTGGAGCAGCGGTCCCCGCGCAGGGCTGAGGGCCGGTGCTCGGCGCTGTGCAAACCCCGGTATCGCGTCCCCGGCGTGAGCTGTATTGGAGCCGGCCTGCCCTTCTCGGTGGCTTCCTCTTGGCTGCGGGAGAGTTGGGGTTTTCCAGCGTGGGGCTGTGTCTCTGCCCGCTGTCATCGGCGTAGCGGGTCCTCAAAACTTTCCTGCAGTCCTGTTTTTGCGGCGGTTATTCTGCGTGTAAGGAATGATGAAGAATAGATGACTTGGGTTTGGAGGTCGTGTGCCAAGTGTGTTTCTAGTCTTAAAGTTTCAATTCTCGAAGTTATACCGTAAAAAAAATAGGAAAACTTTTTACATTATCGATGTTTTATACTGGTTTTGACTTCTGAAGGGTGATTACTTTCTCTCAAGTTGAGAAAATTTGATGTTGGGGGTTTCCTATTCATCTTATGAAGCCCTAAACTCTATGTGCTGTGTTCTGGAGTTGCTTAACTTTTGGGCATCTGTCTCCTCCTGAGTACTTCAGAATCTCTCAGCCAAACAAAATGAACGCTGTTCTGCATTAGAAAAGGTGTAATTTTGTTTTGTGCAAGGCCTTAGTTCACACAGGAAATTGAATTCTGTTATGTTGGAGTCTGAGCGTCTCTTCCACTTTCTATGATGGTCATATTAGCAAGAGTGCGTCAAGTTTATTTAAATCAGAGAATGAAAGAAGCTGTTAAAATATACTTAACTGCCTGCTGAATGCTATCTTTACTACCTGAGGTACTCAACATATCATTTTGTCAAAATTTGCACAGAGCACCTTTATTTTACAAAAACTTTTGACTCGGTGCATACCTGCATAATTAGTAACAAAAAGAGGCAGCATGTGGTGGGAATAATAGAATATTGTAAAGGCTGCAGAGCTCAGTATGTGGGATAGAACTCTGCTGTTTTGTGGTTTGTTTTATTCGTTTTTATTACATGAAGACTGAAATGTTTGCATCCAAAACCACATAACACAGTATGCTATGAGTGTACATATCTTTGCAATAACAACTCCATATTACAAGGTTAAGCAGTTAGAAGTAAAAGAATGTATAGCAGAGACTGCATACCCACAAAAAACCAAAACCAGGTACAACTTCTAGTTAAGTTTCCAGTCAGTAGTCTTACATTTGTCATCTGGGGTCAGGTTCTGTGCCATGTACTTGCACACATAGTTTAAGCCTTGCACTGAATACAGTCTTTTATGCTCATGGGCCTATCTGCTCCCTGAAGTGGTGTCAGGTGATGATGTTAGTGTACTTCATATTGGCATTAAATGAAAGGGAGGCAGTACTCTGACTTCAGAGATACTGAATTGAGGTGCAAATATCAAGGTAATTTTATCAGATATATTTTTTTATTTTTAGGTATTAAGGTCAAGTACTTCTCAACATGAACTTTGAAACATTCTGAACGGTCCTCAACCATAGTGGCAGATATTCAGTGCTCCTAAAGTTGCTTATTGTGTCGTGCACTTCAGAATGTAACACCAGTGCTTATGTGTGAACATCTGGATTTGAAAGGCTTGCCTAAGGGGAAACATTCAGCTATGCTCTCCAAACAACAGTCAGCTTTGTAAACTGGAAACTCTCCTGCCTCTTACTACAGTCATCTTCCTTGCTGGATGCAGAATTTGTAGGACAAATAGCAAATTACTTTACGAAACAACTTCATTCACTGCTGATCTGTAATTAATGTATAATGCATACTGGAGAAGGTTAGGGACCTAATGACATCATATAGTTAGTTACGTGCATCCTTGAGCGACTAAATTAAGATTACCTGGAAAAGTGTCAATTCTGGCTGTTTTCTGATGTTTTGATTATACAGTCACCTACATAACTGATGAGTAGGGTGTCTGTCTTCTCTCTTAAAGCTATGATTCCAGCATCTGTTAAATAAGAGTATCAAGGGGCTGGATAAGTAGCTAATTTTGCTTCAGCATTCTGCTGCAGCCCTGAGTTTCTCTTAAGCAAGTAAAAGTTTTGGTTCCTTTTTTTTTTTTCCCCCTCAAGTAGTCTATAACTTTGCCAAATTGAGAATTAGTGGAAGGAAGCTAGAAGCCACATAACGTTCAGAAAGGAGCGATTATTCTGGTATGAAAGACAGTAATGTTACATCTTGATTAACAGTTGTATTCCCTTTTTAACACAGAAAAATCATGTTATCTTTTAAATTTGGTTCATTTACTTGTCAGATGTATTTGTATTTAAATGTTCTCTTCAAAAGAACAAGTGTTCAAAATCACAAGGAACTTCTGCTGAAAAAACAGGAAATTTCCAGTTAAATTCAGAGGTTGAATTTTTGCATGTATAGGATACTGTTTTCAATTGCTTTTATAACAGCAAGTCCTACTTAGGTGTGTCACTTGATGAAATCTGATGCCACACAAAATATATTTTTATGCTAAAAAAAAAAAGCTTTGTGATTGCTATTCAGGTGCCTTGTTAATAATAAGTGCATACTGTTACATTGTTCATTTACTGTGTTCCTTTTTTTAGGTGCTATTGTATACTAAAATACATTTCCATGCTCCTGTTTTCCTGTGTTTCCCAATAGAGCAAACTTTCTAGTTTGGCAGATCAATGCCTAGGAATGTGTTATGCTCTAGCATGCAAAAAAGTACCTTTAATAAACCTGTTTCTGGTTTGGGTCAAATAACCCCATAACCTATTTGTTTTATACAGGGATCAGCTTTTCCTGCCAATTATGCAAGCAGAATTATGCAAAAGCAGTGTTTTCTTCCGTAAGTATAAAAGACCCTCCTTCTTTCTGCTTTTCCTCCACACGCCCTAAAAAAATCCAACTTTAACAACTTATTTTATGCTTTCCCCATTGCCACATTTCTAGAAACTCCAACTTGATGGGAGTACGGCTGGCTGGATCCCATGTTGATACACAGGAGTCTAAGACTAATCCTTTGGTAAGTGTTTTATAATGATACTTTGTATGTTGTCTTAGTAATAAAGGGGGTGTACAGAAAAATTTGAATTCCTTTATTGCAGCTTTTTAAAGTTCTGTCTTAATGATGTCAAATTTGCTGTAGAGAAAGAAACAATTTAGATTATTGGTATTTGAGATTTTTTTTTCCAGCAAGATTTCTATAGCTCACATTGCCTCTTACTCACTTCCCTCCTTCTCTTTGTAGCTGTAACTCATGAAATACCAGCTTTTTGGCCACATTCAGTTCAGCGCCTGCAGCAGCTTAGGCAGCCTAAGGCCTTTGGCTTGGAAGCTGGGAGCCTAAGGCTGATGAAGTGGGAAGTTCATGAAGGCATGTGGTAGATATCTTGCTTTTAGAATCTGAATGCTTTGATTTTTGACTTGGACTTCAAAAGCATGTGTTCAATCTGTATAATACATGCAAGTAAGCCAAAATCTTATAGGTAGTATTACATTTACAGTGCAGAACCAGCCTTCCTGCCATGTGTGGTACGTGCTGGATTTACTGTGCTAAAACTGCCTGGGAGTAAATCTGTGGGAAAATCGGTGCTTCCTGGACACATCAAAGCTTTTCAGATGATCAGTGAGCCCAGGCCATGAGAAATTGAAGCTCTAACTGAAAGTCATAAACTTTTACCTGGACAAACATGAAGGATAATATGCCTGGGGAAGCCTACTGTGTTTAAAGTAGCCTTATAACTGACTTAGTAAAGTGAGAATTCTGGTAACTGCCCATAAGGTTCTAGTTACTGTCCATACCCAAGCAAAGTCTGAGAATTTCACATATTCTCATGCTGCTATTTAAAATACAAATACTGCTGCTCCAGACTTGCTTAGGCAATGAGTTTCACTCTTGCCTTTGATAGTGTTGTCCTCCTTATATTTATCTGGCATTCCCTTTCCTTTTCTGATCAAGGAATTTTACCTAAATATTCAGAAGTTGGGTATCTCCTCATACTTTTGCCTTCCCTGATAAGAGTGAGAACTGTCAATCAAGGTAATACTGTCAGCCTCTTGCAGATAAACTAAAATAAGCAGCTAACAGTGTGTGGTTTTTTTCCTCTTTTATAAGTGGGGCGCACAGGCTAAGAAAATATGCCGTGCACATATTAATAAAGGAGAACATGGAGTGGTAACTCTTGTCCTTTCTTTAAAAATGCAGGTATCTATTTCAGATGAACCAGAAATACTGTACAAGAGATTGTCCCTTTTAGTTAAAGGCCACGATAAAGCTGTGTTGGACAGCTATGAATATTTTGCAGTGCTTGCAGCTAAAGAACTTGGCATCTCTGTTGAAAAAGTGTAAGTAACTGATCTGTAGAGTGATGTGGTATCAGATGCTTCTTCAGGTTCTGTGCTTAGAAGTATTTTCTTTTTTTCAGAAGAAAGAGGTGTAATCTGACATTTTTTTCTCAGATTATAAATCTAACACTTCTTAGATCATAGAATCATTTAGGTTGGAAAAGACCTTCAAGATCATCAAGTCCAACCATCATCCATGCCCACTAAACCATGTAGATAGCAGCAAGCACAGTGATGAGAAGGCAGCAGCAGTTCTACACTCAGCACTGCCATAGTAGAAGTGCATTTTAACTACATGAAGGATATTGACAGTACTCTTAAGTACAGTCGTCAGTGCTCTAGCTTCCCTGAACAAATGTTGTTAATACCTGAGTATTAACCATGCCCATGTGGGTTAATAATAAACTGTACCTGTGTAATACTTTCTTGCAGATCTTCTAAATGTCAGATAAGAACAGGGATTTCAGCATAATCTTTCAGATAATTTGTATTAGCATCCTTTATATAAAATGAAATTTTCTTTTTGTGCTTTGTTCAGACATAAGCCTCCAAAGAAGATAGAACGATTGACACTTTTAAAATCTGTACACATTTACAAGAAGCACAGAGTTCAGTATGAAATGAGGACACATTACATGTGTTTGGAGGTAAGAAGGATGTAAAAAAAAACCAAAACAGTGTGTTCTAGGTGCACAATTCAAAGATGTTAACTCAGGAGTGAACACAAACTTCTATTTACTTGGGTTGGGGAGGAGAGTGCAGGCAATAGCAGAAAACAGCTGACCTAGGTACATCAAATGTAGCTCAAGTTATTCTGAATGTACAGCCTATATAATTTTTGGATTAAAAGGCTGATTTTGACCATCATCTTAACAGCTGAAAGAATGATTAAAAAATAAGGTAGAATTGAGGGTTATTTTTATATGTGTTATGCTCTTGGTTTCCAAGAATCAGTGGGATAGGAGCTTTCTCAAGAACAGCGGGAGATGCAGCTAAATCATTGTCATTACCAGTCACTAAGGGTTTGTCTGATGTTTTTGAACACACATACTTTTGCCCTGTGCAACATCATGTGGCAAACTAAAACTGTGGGGGGGAAATACCAGAAAGGAAGTGTATACAAACCACTAGTTTTATGGCTGATGACACAGACTTCTGTATGGTTTAGAATGCAGCTGTGGTTGATTTTCTTAGAAGAAAGGTTTACTGCCAGCATTTTGTGGCTCCTGGGTTTCTTACTGTATATTTGCACAGTGCTTAGCAAAATAGGACTTTGCTTTAAGTCCCCAGACATTAGTGGAGTACAAATGGCTGCCCACAGACTGTAAGCACTATTTTTGCCATCCAGGAGAGACTAGAAAATCAGTAATTCAATGGAATTCTGGAGTAGCAGGATTTATAAGCAGCTTGAACTTTGAGAGTATTCAAAAGCTGGTGATTCTTGCATAACCTGTAATTAATTTAATCTGATACCTGCAGTGTTAAGATCCACCAATTCCATCATAATCAATGCATGTGGTCACAGACAGTATGTGCAGTTCTGTGAACTACTTTATACTTGCATGAGAGTTGTGTACAGCTCAACTGCTTCTGTTCAATATTATGGAACCTGCCTTCCTGTAAGATGTTTGGTCCCATAGCAAGAACTAGAGAAGGGCAAGCTCTTTTTTTTTTTATTTATTCTGTTTGAAGTATTAATAATAGTAGTTCATTAAAAAAAACATTACTTCTGTTTTAGTTAAAATACCTAACAAGTAGTACTGCTGCAGTTTACTTGGAGTACGTTCAACGGAACTTACCTGAAGGGGTTGCCATGGAAGTAAAAAAGGTAAGTTTCCACCTCACACTATTAACTGTTATGAGGCTAGGTCCTGATGCAAGTACCAATAACTACTGAAGTCTTTAGAAAGTCAGCAGAGGAAATGTGTGTGGTTTAGAAGGAACATTTTTCCAAAGTATTAAATGGTAAAGAGGCTGTATTGCTTGAAAATGCCACTAGGTGGCATTTTTAATCTGATAAATCTCTCAAACCAGAATAAATAAAGCAAGGTAGTTAGATGTTAACTAGCTGGTATAATAAATGGTTGCTTTGCTTTCCTTTTAGACTAAGATAGAGAAAATACCTGAACACATTCAGGAACCAGTTTGGGATACACTACCTCAAGTAGAAGAAACTGAAGTCAAGTCATGAACTCACTCAGGTACTTTGCTCCATTAGTGCTGAAATTAGTTGCTCTTATCAACCTAATTTACTGAGACAAGTCTACTGTTAAATAAAAGTTCTCTTGTAAAGTAATTATATAAACTCTTGTTTCATCAAGTTATTCTTGATCATATCTCCAGTACACGTAGACTAAACAGCTATAAAGTGAAGAAGTTTGACTATACTCTGTGATCAAGAACTATGGTAATCTATAATATGTTTGTAGAAAGCTAATTTTTTAAAAATTTTTTTATATATAGAAAAGTGTATTTAAATGTACAAATATATATAACAATTCTCAATCTCCTTTTGATACTAAATGGCTTCTGAATTCTGAAATACTTGCAAAATCCACTTCGTGTTTGTGTAACGTTTAATGTTATGAATGCCAGCTTGTTACACATTTTTTGCTGTAGCTCCTTTGAAGTAACTGCATCCCAGGTGTACATACAGCTTGCATATTAACTTGTAGTAAGTCAAAAATCACAATCTTAGAGGACACTGAGGCATATTGAGCCTTTCCTAGGCTCCTGTAGTTCCAATAGCCTTATTTCCAGTCTTAGTAACTGCTTGCTAACAGAGAACACAGTGATCACAGTACAAATCTGAGACTTCCACAGGCTTGCGTCTCTCACTTAAATGAAGTGCTTGTAGAATCATGTTGCAAAGCAAATGGATACTGCAAAGTGTCATTATGGACAGGACAAACACTGCATTAAGTGTTTTAGTTCACTACAGGGAAAGGCATGGCCTTTTTCTAAACTGGCTTGGTCGGTTATTTTGTAAACCCAGCCTAGCCGGACACTACTTACACTTAGAGGGGAAAAACAGTACAAATAGCAAAAGAGTGCTCAACTGCTTTGAAGGTTAGTTCACCATGAATCAAATGACATAATACTAGGTGCAAAGTTGTCATCCACTTTACCTTCAGATTGCGTTAAGCATTTCTACCTTTCCTAGGTTAGCAGGAAGGGCACAGCTGCAGGAATCTGCTTCACTATTAAGGGAGTGGCTTTGATTTGACTGCTATTAACAGAATTTACAGGATAGCCAACTGGGTCACAGGACAAGACAACCAGAGAGGCTGGATCATACTTACCAAGACCACTCAAAGTTTTATACAATCATAAAAGAAAAGAAGCCCAGTGTTATTATTAGACAGAAATGGACAATCTTAATGGTACATAGCTGAAAGACAAGAAACCAAGCTTGTGCTTGAAGATCGTCTGCATTTTCTAGCTGTAGAGAGGCCCAAAGCTGTTTTAGGAGAGCTATTTCAAGAGAGTCATTATAGCTGGTATCATTCGTGATAGAAAGGAAGCTGCCTGTGAACTTTCTACAATATGCCTCAGAAAAAAGAAAAAAGGAAGTTAATCAAAGCCCTTATGGGAAGATACACTGCCTAGTTCTCCCTTCAAGGTGTTTGCTTTCCTCGATTTCAAGCTATTCCTCCTTTCTCTCATTCCTAGTATTCAGTCATAATAGCATTTCTTGAAGTCATGTCAGACACCATATAAAGTGAAGGGAGAAATTGTGAGCTGACCTGGTTAAATAAAGCTGGTGCTTCAGAGGAACAGCCTCTTTCAAGTCTGTGTTGTATTTTCTTCAAATTTGCCATGCTTCCATGCTTTAGTTGTGCATAAGCCACCTGCCAAGTTCAAGCTGTATATAGTATCGAAATATGACTGTGCTCAATACTAAGTCTTTCCACATCTTGGTTTGATGCATGGTAAGATTAAGAGGTCGTCTTCTATTGTCTTTGGTGTTCTCCGCTCAGCCTGCAGTTTTTGGCTAAATGGCCAGTCAGCATGGCTTTTCAGTTGGCTCAGAGTTGTAGCTATCAGACCTAAATAGGAACGGGCTTAGGAGACAGCTGCAGAGGGTATTAGCCCATGTAAGCAACCCCCTGGCAGAAGGGATGCTTGATCTTGGGAAAGGTATATTATTAGAGAATTTCTTGCTTCCAGCCTCATCATATGTTGGGGAAAGCCAGTGTGCATGTAAAGCGATCTCTGGACCTTAACTATGTTGACAGAGCCATAGCTAACTGCCATCACAGACCACATCCACCCCAAAAAAGCAGAATGACCTATGCACAGTCTGATTGTTACAGACCAATATTTACTAGCACAGCCATTTACTAACCTTAGTAGGCCACACTTCTCATCCATATTTTACCCTGTATGAAACTTCCTCCCTTTTAAGACTGTGATCCTTCCCTGCTTCCTCTATCTTCCCCTTCATGTTCAGGGGTTTCCTAAGGCCTAACAGCATCTTTGTCTTTATCTCTAGTTATGCATTTGTAGAACACCGTAACCGTGCAATGCACTCTGATAACATTTTCCATCTACTAATGTGGCTTCTGACTTTCACAGCATGTTCCTGATCCTTACAAAACTTCAGATAAACTATTTTGTTGGATAAACTATTTCCATTCTTTACTTCTTTTCCCATTCTCCAGTTTTGCTTTTTCTGCCACCTTTCTTAGGACGTGCCAACACAACACTTCCTGTGTCACAACATTGCTTTAGGTCTGTGCTAAATATTGGCACCAAAGATAAACAAGTTCTTGAGTCCATTCAATCTTTAAAATCCTTGGTCACTGCCAGTAAGCTGGAGGTGGATTTCCTTCCACAAATACTTTGTGACTAACAGCTGCCAGCCTACTTCAGGTGTCAAAAAATATACAGACCAATATATTATGTAAATATAAATAATATATAACAGCTGTTTATAAAATTTTCAGGTTTGTAGAGTAATTTTAAAACTAAATCCAGAGCATTCACGTTACTTTGAGCCATTTAACCATTTAAAAATTGTGAGAAAGGCACTGCTCAAAGGCAGTTGTGGCAGAATCCAATCACTTATGGATTAAAGAGTTTTTAAAAACTATCTAAATTACACTGCATTTCCCAGATACCCAGGGTTCATTTGCCATATGACAGTATCTTTCAGTACAAAAATGATTTGTGAACAGTAATTTCTGTATCACTTAGAAAGGTATTTAAAGATGCAGTCTGAATTCATTCTCAGCATTTCATGAAAGCACTCGTGTATTTTCCTTTCTTATACATGCCAGGGGTCATCAGTCATGCCTGGAATGTTACTTCAATTTTGGTTTCTACAGTTAGTTTTAATCATACCACTACCACAACTTAATTGTCATGTTAGCTTTAATATGATTATACAGCAAGCTTCTTGCTTTAGAAGCCTTTCCTGTCAGTCTCTGCATTTCATGCACCAGTAAATTAATTACAGTCTATCTGTTATTCCAGGGAGCACTGGAAATGCAGCAAGTCCAAGGGAAGGTCATTCACCCAGGAAGCTGTGATATGAGAAGATTTTGCTCTTTGTGTAATACAAAGCTGTAGTTACAACTGCTTCAAGTCTGCTATTGTCTTAAATCAAACTGCACTGAAACAGGCAGAGTCTAGTACTTGTCCCTTCAAATTAGAAATTTGGAAATAGAACCTCACGTGCTGATCATGGCTTTCCCCAGCAAGCGCCATTAGGAAATGCTACCCTTTCTCGTTTCCACACTTTTGCAGCCACAAAAATAGCACAAATGTCTTTAAAAAAAAAATTTCCTGTCATAAAAGTTAGGGAGATTTCTTGCTCCTGTTTAAAACATTTCATCCTCAGGTTTCCCTCTGACTAGTTTGCTGTGGTCTTCTCAAGTTCAGGGTTTTTTTCCCACTAAAAACTAGTATTCACTGTTGTCCATTTGTGTGGTGAAAAGTGGAAGTTACACTTCTGACAGTCATTCATAAGTCAACCATGATAAATCACAAAGGCCCTCAGAGGATCTGAGTGTATGACAGCGTATCTGCGCACCAGGGAACGGGCATACCTCTATACTCAGTACCTCAGCTGACCCAGTTTCTTTAAGATAGAGGAATCAGAGAGGTATTTCATTTAGAGTAAAAATACGAAAAAAAACCCACAAAACAAACCACAAAACCAACCCTTTTAATACAAGCAATTTATTTGTTTGGGTAGGTGCACACAGTGCATGTAATGTTTCTCTTCTATAACATTTTTCTACGTACTTATGTACAGTAAGAGGACAGCATTATGGGATTTGGGGTTTTGCGTCCCTCTGAAGAAGAAGTTACTGTCTCACTATTCAGTCCAAAATTCCTAGTTCTCGTAACAAAAAGTACCTTGCTTTGGAAATGCTATTTATTGAGTTACAAGAAATGTGATTAATAAAAAGTACATGTTTTCTTCTTTCTACTTAAATAAAATGCCACTTGATAGTGTCAAAAAGCATGCAATCAGTGTATCACATCTGCTGATGCAAGGTCTTTCATACATCAGTGCATTATTATCACTCATCTTTCATTCCCTCCTGCAATGTAAATGCTAGCTCTTCTTTGCTTCAGTATTAGAGTATGTTTCCAGTTCAAAATAATAGGTTTTTTGATGTTACTTAGTGAAAATATTCATAGGGCTTTTTCCCTAAGCCATTAAGAGTACAGAAGTTTCACCTTTTGCTCAGAGAAAGTTAAAATACCTAGATTATGGAGGCACTGTGACATCGTAACTGAGTAACACCAACAAAACTTCAAACACGTACAGCAACTTCAGATACCTAGAACTGATAAGAGCTGCTTTAGCCTGTAGTGGTCATGCTGCTAAGAAATCCAAGAGCAGAAGGTTTAGTTTGCCATCAAAAATCAAATGCAATGCAGTGATGAAACTTTCAGACCAAAACAATTATTCTGTGTTATCCAAGAGGGAACATAAAAAATTGAAAACACAGATTAGTTTAGTAACTACTTGAGAGAAAAATGAATTCTAGTAAACAGGATCAGTTTTAAACAGATAAATTCTTCCCTAATGTTGGCACCCACCCAAAAGCAGAGAAAGTCCTAATGCAGATTTCTTTCCTCTTTTGTCTAGTGTCTCATTCAAATCTATACCTTTACTTCACTTTCAAACACCGAGTAACCTGTCCCAATGCAGGGTATGAAGGGTTGGAGAACCTGGCCTTACATACTCTCTCCAAACCATTTTCAACAAACTGGGCATGGATGTACCACAGAACTAGTTTGAAAGATGGAAAAGAATGTATCCATTTTTGTGGGTGTCCACAGAAGGTTTAGGGCCATGTCTTCACCCTGTTCTTTCACATTCAGTTTTCGATTTTTGGCGTACAAGCTGGAATGCACGTGTCTACCAAGCTGTCAGTTAAGCTATCTACTGTATTATATATGCTTCTATATACATGTTTGTGGGTTTGGGTTTTTTTTAAGCTAATGTTGCTATAGACAACACATGGATTCGGGCAGCTTATGGGGTTAGCGTACCTTGGATCTTTCTAAAATGCCCCCCCCTCCCCCCCCCCGACTAAAATTTTAAGAGACGTTACATTTAAGATGTTATCTTATTCTCCATATTCCCTGTTTTTTTCAGTGCGTAAGCTTGGTCGTTCTTTAACGAATACCAAGTTCATTGCAGTGGTTTTTACATTAACAATACATTATAATAACCACAGTGTAAGAAATTAGAGTGTCAGTAAACATATTGGCCATTTTATTGTCAAAAGAATTGCAGATTGATTTTCAACACCATCACTCATGCTGGCAAAAAAAAAAAAGGCAGTGGTAAAGCAGTTTCTAAACTTAGTTTTCATTAGCAAAATAAGAATATTAGGCTAAATACAGCTATTTGAGAACAGCTGTTTAATACAAAAGCACCCAGCAGTTCTGTTATTAGCTAAATTAGTTTTGCTTAAGAATAAACAAGTAACTTGAATACGTAAGTAAAAAATACTTGCCTGAATAACTTCTTGATCATTAATGCTAGAGAAAGAGGGATAAAGAAGTTCTAAAAATCTGTTGCCTTAAATACGGGCATGCCCTGCTCTTTCAGTAGGTCAGCGTACCACCTCCAATTAGCTTCAAAGGGTGATTGTGTTACCCTTTAGAAGATAATAGCATCATTATCCTTCTTTCACCAAAAACATCATGCCACATCCTGAAAGTCCTGCAACTGAACTGGCCTGCTGAAATGGCCAGCTCCAGAGGCACTCAGTTCTTGTGCTGAGAACTTTTGGTTTTGTTAAGTAGCCTGTAAGTAGAAAGCTTTGGGGTTTTTTTGTGATAAAAATTTCATTTTATATTTTAAGTCATCAGCTGCCAAACACTATATTTGGTCTGGCTCTGCTTTTTTATTTTCACTGGTGTTTATTTTCTTGTTATTCTCTACATTTATGCAAATAGCATATCAAGGCAACATCAAGGTACTTGCCTTTGTGTACATGCCAGCTGCTAACCAGGAAAGGAGTGATGTATAGAAGGAGCAAGGGTAGACTGAGATGAAGGACGAAATGAACTCCTCTCTTACCCTTCACATTGCTTCAAGCCAGAATCCTAAGTTATGTATCTTTCTTTTTATTATATGCCACAAAACCAGCATATAGTAAATAAATGTGCATTCAACTTTGTAAGCTATATGCTGCAGTCTATGCTGTAGCTTACACTGCCTAAGTAACTTGTGGCAAAAATTATTTAAAGTTTAGCTCTCCATTTTTGCATTTGGATAGGAAAAGAGTGTAATCAATACATTTATTCCAATTAAAAATATACACTAAAATGAAAAAATGGCATCTCACAAGGGAAAAGGCAAAAGCAGAAGTAGAAAAGAGGGGATGAAGAAAAGCATGAAAGTGAGTTGCTGCACTGATAAATGAAAGGAGACAAAAGAATGAAGGCAGCAAGCTAGGAACGAGGAATCTGTTACGTTCAGATTAGCAGAGTTCTCTAAAATAAATGAAGCAGCTTTTATAAACCTTGTGTCTCTGGAACATGTCACGCAGATTAAAGTGCTGAAGATACACAGGTAGCAGCAGCAGACTTCTGCTGACAGGGTTTAATCCTGGCTGCTGACAGAACTGGGTCAGCAGAACAGATTACAAACAGTCCAAGCTTTTTGCCTTGGTTTTCTTTCCAATATTATTGCTGGAATCAAAGATGCTGGTGCATAGGAGGTCTGTAAAAAGAACACTGCTGGCCATACATTATCACGCTAGCAACTAGAAGCTCCAGTGCAAGCTAATGTGACTTCAACTCTTCAGCAGCGCAAGCTCAGCTAGCAACTTGGTTTAAGAATTTTAAACCGCGTTGTGGAAAGGCTGCGGAGGGACCCTCCGGTTCAGCGCTCCCCG